AAACTGATCATCAAGGTTGAAATTAAAGTGTCAAATGCTCTTAAAGTGAAACACAACGCTAGTCTCTGAGAAAATGGCATCACAAGTCAGTATCTCGTGTGTCAGCCATGTGAATTGGTGACTGCCGTGCAACGTCGATACATGGAATGGATGAGGCGGTTTATGAAGGTCATAGGCACTTGAGCCCACACACTGAGGAACGCCTGACGCAGTTCAGCTGCAGTTGTCGGTCTTGGTCGGACGTCATTCAGCCGTCTTTGAATCTCGTCCCACAGGTGCTCAATGGGATTTAAATGGGGACTGAGGGCAGGCCACTGGGCAGGTTCTGATGCCATTCTGCTGGAGGAAGTCTCTTTTTGCTCTCGCTGTGTGGGCAAGGGCGTTATCATGCTGAAACTCGTGGTAAGGGCGACGTGCCAAATGAGGTATGGCGTGTGGTCTCAAGACTTGATCAATGTACCGAGCTGTTGTGACACAATCGCCTCTCCCTGGACCAATGTTCTGGACGACCACAGGGCCGACCCTCTGTGCAAGACCAATTCCACCCCACACCATGATCTTAGGACCACCCCACGAGTCTCTCTCAACAACACAAGCATCCGAACAACGTTCCCCACGGCGTCGCCAGACTCTCTCTCTCTCTGACATCTGCTGTTGAGATACAGTGACGGCTCTCGTCTGAGAAGAGGACTCTTCTCCACTGCTGGGGGCGCCAATAATGGTGCTGGGTTGCCCACTGAAGACAGTCCCGGCGATGGCATGGTGTCAGAATGGATCCTCGGTGTGGCCTGTGACAGTGTCTGCTCGTCAATCATCGACGCACGGTGCTCATACTAATGTGTCGCTGGTGTGTCCCCATGGCTTGTCGAGCAGTAACGAAGCGATCTTGAAGATGCTCTCGCACAATCTGACGATCCTGACGTGGGAAGGTGACCCTTGGTCTTCCACTACGTGGTCGGTCATCTGTAGTGTTTGTGGCCAATGCATTTCAAGTCCACGTAACGACCATATACAGGCTCCAGCAACGGTACCAGGCCACAAACACTACAGATGACCGACCACGTAGTGGAAGACCAAGGGTCACAACCCCACGTCAGGATCGTCAGATTGTACGAGAGCATCTTCAAGATCGCTTCGTTACTGCTCGACAAGCCATGGGGACACACCAGCGACACATTAGTGTGGACACCGTGCGTTGACGATTGACGAGCAGACACCTCCACTGTCACAGGCCACACCGAGGACCCATTCTGACACCACGTCATCGTCGGGACTGTCTTCAGTGGGCAACACAGCACCAGCATTGGCGCCCCCGGCAGTGGAGAAAAGTCCTCTTCTCAGAGGAGAGCCGTTCCTGTATCTCAACAGCAGATGTCAGAGAGAGAGTCTGGAGAACGTTGTTTTGATGCTTGTGTTGTTGAGAGAGACTCGTGGGGTGGTCCTAAGATCATGGTGTGGGGTGGAATTGGTCTTGCACAGAGGGTAGGCCCTGTGGTCTTCCATAACATTGGTCCAGGGAGAGGCAATGGTGTCACAACAGCTCGGTACATTGATCAAGTCTTGAGACCACACGCCATACCTCATTTGGCACGTCGCCGCAACCAGAGAGCAACAAGAGACTTCAGAACCATGCAGTGGCCTGCCCTCAGTCACGATTTAAATCCCATTGAGCACCTGTGCGACGAGATTCAAAGACGGCTGAATGACGTTCCTCAGTGTGTGGGCTTAAGTGCCTATGACCTTCATCAACCGCCTCATCCATTCCATGTATCGACGTTGCACGGCAGTCATCAGTGCACATGGCGGACACACGAGATACTGACTTGTGATGCCATTTTCTCAGAGACTAGTGTTGTGTTTCATTTTAAGAACATTTGACACTTTAATTTCACTCTTGATGATCAGTATTGTCAAGTTTCATCCTTTTAAAATGTCTCAAAGTATGTTTACAGTGTTTGGACAAATAAGGTTTCTCATATATCTATCCATGGTGATGTTTCCTTTGCGATTCAGTATACATGTATATGTTACAGGAAACAAGTATAATCAGTGATTAAGTCTAATAACTGGAAATTTCAGTGATTATGTCTAAGAACTGATTCACTCGGTGGTTATGTCTAATTTCTGAAATCTTCAGTAATTAGACATAATCACTGAAATGAACCAAGGGATTTTATACTTGTTTACTGAAAGCATATCCCTGCCTTTTTATAATAACTTGTGAGAAGGCTTCATAATCCTGTCCTAAGCCAATCTCCTGTAAACAAACAGAATCATGTGTTGTAACAACATTTGAGAAGGCTTCGCTAGTTGTCCATAGAAATCAAAACACAACATGCTTCTCTTAACAATGTGTAAAATTGTATTTAGTCACGCAACTGTGTCACTTTTGCTCAACATCCATTGCATATTCAGCCAATGAACTACCATTTCATGCTGACCTAGAAAAAGTTTACCTATACTCAACAACAAAAGTTCCTGTGACGCCAATATTTTAGTGTATTTTTCAAACAAGTAAAGTTTGGCTTCAAATATTGTAGTACATGTATGGAATAAGTCACAAAAACGCAACTGCTACAGAAAAGCATGCATTCCATGCAAAAGTTGACTTTTGCAAGCCCCATGCATTTCACAGAAAACAATTCTGCCTCTCTCTTATCCTGTATATGCATTGTATACGCACACGCAAACATGAACTGCCATGTGGTTCCGTTTTTCCTGAATTACTCAACTTAACCATTGCTCAACCATAACTTTCACTTCATATCATCACTGCAAATTCTTTTATTTACTCTCTGGTTATTTCGGGAACTGTCTCGATATTCTCAAATTTTCTCAATTAATTTTCCGAATCTGACTGCAAGTAAATACCACTGTCAGATCAGTGTACATTAATGTAGTAACTTTCTGTATCTAAAATATGTGACATCAACGCCAGAGAATATCCAATTCATGATTATCTCAATAAACAGATTCCCCTGGGCGCCATAAGCAAGACACTACTCTTTTGTTCCAACTGGTTGACTCAATTCACTGCAGGATTGCTGCTTGTCAAATTCCAGGAGACTCAATATACCAACGGACAGCTATGGAGAATAGTTATGACAGAGTGCTTTCTACAACCGGAGATGTTTCACAGGAGAACGTCAATACCGGATACTCCGTTTCTAGACTTGTTCGCCACATGCCTGTTTAGCTTGTCGGACCCCCTAGCTCTCCAAATATACTGAACAACAAAAGTTCCTGTGACATTGAATTAGATTTAATGCAAAGATGTGTTTTTTTACCAAATCTGTCCACCTCTGGCTGCGATGCAACACAACTTCGTCTCATGGAATAGACCAGGCGTCGCACAAAGTCCTGTGGGATATCTTACCATATCTGCTGGAGCATGTTTCGAAGTTCCTGGAGTGTCTTTGGAACACGTGGTTGACGTCGAAGGCGCCGATCCATCCCATCCCACCTGTGCTCGATTGGTGAGAGATCAGGGGAGCGAGCCGGCCAGGGGATGACATTTACGTTGTTTTGTTGAAGAGAATCCTGAACAAGTCGAGCAATATGAGGCCGGGCGTTGTCATGTTGAAAGGTAATGCCTGGGCCATGACGACGCAAAAACGGTAGAACAACAGGGCCGATGAGCTCGGTGTTAGTCACACACTTCGGCTTGGACACTCGTACAGACGTGTCCTCCCAAGCTCGGTACTACAACGAGAGACCTATCCAAGTCCTTGCCTAGGGAGCTTGTCTCCATCCTGGAGCCCCTGTTGGCTTACCGGGTTGGGGACTACTCCCTAAAGACATCCTTCAAGAGCAACACCTCCACTCTCTCCATCTCCTTTGACAGATCAGAGGAAGAGGCCTCTGGGCAAAGCTACGGCTAAGCCTAAGCCTCGGGAGAAACCTATCCAGGCCCCGACCTTACCTACACCACGCCCGGTGCAGAAAGTCAAGCCACCTAGGAGAAAGAAGTCCCCATCAATCTCCAACATGGAGATCGGGGAGACCCTTCCCCTACCCTACAGTCCCCAGTAGCAGCCTTGGAACTCGCTCCCCTCGAATCCAGAGAATCCGCTCGCCTGAGGGCACGGGCCACGGGAGGAAGAAGAGGAAGAGGAGGGACATCCCTTCTCCCGAAACTGCCTCCTGATCGACCCACACCACCACAGCGGAGGCCCAGACCTCCACACCAGCACCGCCCTCTTTCAATGACAGCAATGTCCAGACACGGCGTGCCTTCAACCGCTTGACCCCCCCCCCCCCCCAATTTTTGCCACATTATCTGCTTTATTACACCCACACCCGTCCAGGCAAACCCTCCCCCTAGCATTTTTAGATTAGGATTGTAAACTTTTATATTAGGGTTGCACTTCTTTATTTGTTCTTTACGCTTTGTCTCCTAATAGTATAAGTGGAACCCATTGTGCGACATACGTTAAAGTGTAATTTATTACACGCGGAAAGCGCACGTTAAATCTCAAAGAATGATGATGATGATGACGGTGTTAGTCAAGCTTGGTGTTCCGAGTGCTGGTGTAGGGACGACCTCGAGCAGGATGTGTCGCTCGTAGGAAACGTCCTGAGGTTGGGCTGGAGCTCCACTCACCTCATGTATGCCTGAGCTGGAAGGTCCGCTCATCGCTGTGTTTGTGTTGTCAGAGCAGGTATTCCGCTCACTGTGTACTTGTTGTTTATCGTTTACATGTGGTGCATAAAACATTCCTGGACAGCGATGTCGATTTTGTGCTCGATTCCCCCAACAGTAGCGTAGACAATTGGATGGTAGTCCTGTACGTAACAGTTTCTGTGGTGGCAGACTTTTTTCTTTATCTTCGCCAGGATGCTAAGTTCGGGAGGGATACCGCTCTGCCCTAAAGTCAGCACGATGGACTATCTATTGGAGATCATCTGGTACTCAGTCGACTCATAAGATCCTTCTATTTGGAGGAAGTTAGGATCCTGCATATTTTTCCCAAGTGGAACCTATCCATTATCATGTCAGCTCAACTGGAGAATCTGTATGCGAACCATTGCATGTGCAACCTGCTGCAAATGTTTAGCAAGACAATCGTTCTATTAGTCATGGCTGCAGCAATCAGCACCCGAGTTACATGCACTGGACTGACAGGACTTACACAGGATTGGAGATCAAGAAGTTCTTGAGCGGCTCGCAGTGTATTGCGTGGACGCCTGCTCATGAGCAGCTGAGCAGGAGACAAGTTGAAACCTTCCAATGGCGTCGTTCTGTAGTCTAGAAGAGCAAGGTGTTTGTCTTCAGACTTCTTCCATAGCTTCTTCTCTGTCTGAACAGCTCCTTCAGCCTCCCCATTGGAACTTTGGAAGTGAGGACTGGAGGTGACATGTTGGATTCCATATGACTTACAGAAGTCCTTGAACTCACGAGAATCAAACTGTGGGCCATTATCTGACCGCAACTTTGAGGGGATGCCGTGGCTGCTGAGGATGGCTTCCATAGCATTGATGGTTGCCGATGTGGTAAGTGAGTTGAGCTCGACAGTGTCTATGTACCTAGAAAAGTAGTCTACTAGTACGAGATATTTCCTGTTCTGGAAGTCAAACAAATCACAGCCAACTTCCTGATACGGCAAGTCTGGAGGTGGTGTTGGCATCAGCGGTTCACTCTGCTGTTTGTTTGGGAACACAGCACACTTGTGACAGTCTCTGATAATGTTTTCAATGTCAGCATTCATGCCGGGCCAAAACATTACTTCTCGAGCCCGTTGTTTGCTCTTAACCATACCAAGGTGTGACTCGTGAATGAGCAGGAGCATATGGCTGCGGAGACTTGGTGGCACTACAATCCGCAGTCCTTTGAAAATGATACAGTCAGATAAGGACAACTGGTCACGGGAGTCCCAGTATGGACGTGTTTCCATGGGCGCTTCTTGGCGGTTGTCAGGCCAACCATTTAAGATAGTTTCGCTCAGGGTTGACAGTTCCACCTTAGTGCACTGCTTGATCTCTGCGTATCGGTTTGGGGATACTGAGATCATGTCGGCCATGTTGACTACTTTCAGGTCGACAACATCAGACTGACTATATGTCACGTAGGCTCTTGACAAGGCGTCAGCTGCTGACATGTCCTTGCCTTTCCTATACTTGACAGTCAGGTCATACCACTGAAGTTTGAGAAGCATTCTTTGAAGTCTCATCGGTGCTGCGAGGAGTGGCTTCCTGCAAATGTCCTCAAGTGGTTTGTGATCATTGTACAGTGGTTTCTTTCCAAAATATATAGCAGTGAAACTTGGTAGCTGCATGGACGATGGATAACATCTCCTTCTCAATTTGGGTGTACCTCATCTCAGTTTCAGTCAGAGAGCGGGAAGTGAAGGCAATTGGCTTCCCCTCTTGAATAAGAACAGCTCCTAATCCGTACTGCGACGCATTGCACTGGATTTCAACAGGTTTGTTCACATTGAAGTATGCCAGGACAGGTGGTGTACTGCATAACTTCTTGAGTTTCTGGAAGCTGTCTTCTTGTTCAGGATCACATGAGAATAGTACATCAGACTTCAGAAGTGATCGAATGGGTGCGTCCACTTTGCTCAGGTCAGGGATGAACTTGGCTAGGTACTGTACGAGTCCTAGTAGCCGGCTGATGCCATCTTCGTCAGCTGGAGCTGGCATTTCTATGATGGCTCGCACCTTGTCAGGGTCTGGCTGGAGGCCATCTTTAGTGAGTATGTGTCCCACGTATTTAACCTCTGTCTGCCTAATGGAGCATTTGTAATAGTTCAGCTTCAAGTTGTACTCTGTTGCTTTTCCAATCACTTGGTTCAGAATTTCATCGTGATGAGCCGTGTCGACCCCTGCAATCAGAACGTCATCGATAATGGCTGCTGCACCACTGATGCCCTCGAGCATCTGATCCATGATTCTCTGGTATATCTCGGGAGCTGAACGGATTCTGAATGGGAGTCGAAGCCAACAGTATCTTCCGATGGGAGTGTTAAAGGTGGTCAGGTATGAGGACTCCTCATCGAGTTTGATCTGTAGAAAGCCTAACTTCGCATCTAAGGTCGAGAACACTTTGGCCTGGGGAATGTTTGCTACCACTTCCTCAACTGTCTTAAGCTGGTGGTGTTCTCTCAAAATTGCTCTGTTCAAGTCCTTAGGGTCAATACAAATCCTGATTTTCTCCTTCCTGACTGAGACTACCATTGAACTAACCCATTCAGTGGGCTTTGTTACCCGGGTTACGTATCCGTTCTCCTCCATTTGCTGTAGTTCTTCAACAATCCTTTCCTTCGGCGCTGCAGGTTGTCTGCGTGGTGGATGAACTACACCTTTAGCCAATGGAAATGGATCTATTTTGATGCGATACTCTCCAGGGAGAGTGCCTGTGGTTTTGATGAGTTCTGGGAAGTCGTCAAACTGATACACAGAATCTGTGGTCATGTTGACTCAAATTACTAGTCCTAGTTCCTCGGCCGTATCTCCACAGATGACATTTTCTTGGTCCAGATCCACAATTAGAAATGGTGTATCAACTGTTTTCTTGACATAGGTTAGAGGAAGTTTGACAGTTCCTAAGGGGCGAATCTTGTGATTCAAGTAGGATTTCAGGATCGTTGGTGACTCTTTCAGGTCACGAACTACTTCAATGCGGTCATAAACTGATTTCACAATGATATTACACTTTGCTCCTGTGTCAATTCTGAATTCTGTTTGCTTTTTTCCTATTTTCAAGGTTTCGGTCCACCTGTCACCTTCGGCTCTAATTTTGTTCACACACTCTGTTGCGAAGGTGTAAATGTGGATTGTCTTCGGATTCTGAATAATCGTCGGAGTCATCAGTCTCATATTCCTGAAGTGTGTTGACTTGTTGTGATTTTCTCTTCTTGCAGGCTTCAATCCAGTGATTTGGTTTCTTGCAGTATTTGCATTTGGTTCCAATAGCAGGGCACTTGCCGTACTTGTGTTATGTAGACTGATCTAGTCCACATTTGTCACAAACTTCACCCTGTTTGCTGTTTTGCTTGTTTTTCTTCTTGCCTATCACCCTGTCTTTCTTCTTAGTTGACCTTTTTCCTTGCCTGCCTGCTTCCCGTAGTGAAGCTACTTTCACTTCATCTCCTCTGATTAATTTTAGCTGTTGCTTTGAGACTTCAAACTGTCGGCTGATTTCTATGGCCTTTGCAAGTGTGATCCTCTGACCTTGGTCTAAAAGTCTTTCTTGTACTTTGGAATGAGCAACACCAGCTATCATCATATCTATCAAGATATCATCTGGGTCAGTGTATTCACAGTCCATGAGTATTAATCTAAGATCTTTTACAAAGTTGTCAAAGTGTTCATTATCCTGCTGCTTCCTCTGTTTCAGTTGAAACCTGGAGATTCTCATGTTCTTTCTGGGTCTGACATAATCTTCAATTTTTTTGAGTATCGTATCAGGCTTATCTTCTTCCCCTTCTTCCCAGTTAAGAGTTTTGTAAATCTCCCTGCCTTGTCTACCGATCCACATTTCCAGCCAACCCGTCTTATCTTTATCACTTGCCTTAGACAGTGGTCCTTTAAAGATAAACGCGACATGCTGTTGAAAATGCTGGAATTCTTGGAAAATATCACTTGCGTCCCAATCTAGGGTCGGTTGTTCAAACTGGAGTTTTGCCGTGATTTTTTTTTCTTGTCCGGTTCAGATCGTCGGCAAATTAGCACTTGTCAACGCTTTCAGAGTCAATTGGTGATAAAACAGATACACACAAGAAGCCTGTTGTTCTAAGGGTCAGATTCTTTAAGTTCGGACAGTTGTCTGTGCATATTTCAGCGGGATTCACCGTCTTCTGACACCATGTAACAAAACATGACTGACACTGATATTGGCTTGCAACACGTGTGTCTTTACTTCCGGTCGCTTACAACAATGAAAACCGATGTCGCTTAGGGCATTGACAATAAGCGTATTACATTACAATGTCTCACATACCGTTGTGGGATGGCTTGCCAATGATGTAGGGCTTTAATTGGCATGAATTGCACCCACAACCATGAGTCCACCGCCTCCAAAACGATCTCTCCCGAGCACACAGTTGGTCACATATAACATTCATCCTGACGTCTGTAAATCCCGCAACAACCATCTGCAAAGCTCATGTTGAAACGGAATTCCTCATAAAAAATGATGTCACATCATGGTTTGTTCCGAGTGTTGCCAGACCGCCTCCGTGGTCTAGAGTCTAGCCCGGAGAGTGGAAGGTCCGGGGTTCGATGCCCCACCGTGTCATACCAAAAGACGTTAAAAGATGGTACTTGTTGTTGCCCTGTCTTGTGCTCGGCATTAAGGGGCTAAAACAAGGACTGGTCGGCTCGGAGTCAGTATACTGTGTCTGAGTGGGGTATTCATGTTAAACTGCGGCATGGTATCTCAGTGAGCTGGCACGAAAAATCGGCATCAGTCCGGACTAGTACAAGCAGCCACACAAACACACACACGTACATGCACGTCGCTATATAAGTGCAATAATCTTGGACGCAACGTTAAACCCCATTTCACCTCACCTCCGAGTGTTGCCACCATTGGCTGCCCACTGTTGGGTGGCAAGTCCCATTAATCGATGGTTGCATATGATTATGTCGGATTAACGAGTATGTCGGATAAACGAAATTAAGTGGTATCAACGTTCATGATCGAAAATCGGACAACTACACGATCGACAACAATATTCAAAGACGTAATAAAAATAAATGTTCATACTGTTATGTTACATTGTAAGCAGAATATGCTTTCTAATCATGCAACCTCTAAAGTTTAACACAAAACTACTGTTATGGGCTGTATTACTTATTCAAAATATTTTAAAAAGCATAGATCTAGTCTGGAATAGAATTCGCAAGTTTGAGACTGGTACTGCAAAGCTAAGAAAGCTGCTTTCTAAGTGGCTAACGTTGACTTCCTGTTACTCATTTCAATGGTCGGTCATAGTTCGCGAAAGGTTGTTCTGACGTGACCTGTAATAGGGAGGTCATCGGCAATAGCGAGAACTTGTATCTAATTTTAATGAGATTGAGGTAATCTAAGTATGTGATTAATCCTGTTTTCTTTATTTGAAGCATTAATTGTTTATTGTTAAGCAAGCATATCTCTGCAGCCGTTATAATATGCAGCAACCAGCCGACTCGTCTCGCATCAAAACACGGGCTGTGTACTCGCGGGCAGATGACCACGGAGTACCCTGATCACTGTGTCAGATTAACGAGAATTCGTTGCAAATTAGGTGTGTCTGAGTTGGAGTGCGAGACTGTCGGATTAACGGGTCTTAATAGCACAGAGTTAATCGGTTTCCATTAGGGCTGGGACGAGTCCAAATTGACTACCCGGGTACCCACATCGCTATTACCCGACCCTACCCGGGTCCCCGCTACATGGCTCAAGAGTTTGGTACAAAATGTCCGATTGGAAATAGTTTGAGTGTAGAGCTTGGTAAAATGTATTTAAATATATCTATAAAATGATCTGGTCATGCATACACTGAAGTTGACTGAAGTGTTATTTTTATTCAAACCTATAAAGGTCAGAAGCAATGGTACTTAGGCTGAAAAAATGCGAACATTAGTGACTTGTAGTATAACCATAGAGTTCTAGATATTTTTTATGATTAAACAATATATCACACAACTAACAACGGGTCCGGGTAGTCCTGTGGGTACCCAGGTCCTACTCAGTACCCACCCGACCCGAGTACCCGAGTTACCCGTCCAAGCCCTAGTTCCCATCATTTTTGTCGGATAAAGCCGATTGTCGCATTAGCGAGTGTCGGATTAACGAGACTTGACTGTATGTGACACTAACAGGATGCGACCATGGTGAGCATTCCAATAGTCTGGTTTCCATCGGCAATTGTCAGTCGTGGCATTTTCTGCTCTGAATGAGGTGGAGGGATGAATGTGCCTTCTAGGACCAGGCTACAGGCAATGCACCTGCAAAACACGAATCATACAACATGCTGCTTTTGCGGCACATGTGCGTTATGAGTTTTTAACAAGCATGGTCATGAACCGAGTTGATCTTGGGTTTGTACCTGGTCTGTGTCAGGATTGAATCTTTACAAACACCACACCTATGTCATTCTCTAATCCTTTCTTCAGACAACTCATTATAGAAACTATGCATTAAACATCAATTTTGTTATTAATGGCTTTCAATATACTTCTTGATAGGACAGTGAAGAGGACTTCAGTTGAAAATCTTTAGATTTTATTGTGTAATGACAGACAAAATACAAGAATTATGGCACTGGTGTAATAGAGGTAGTATTCTTAGAATTATTAACAATGATTATTCTTAGAATTATTAACAATGATATTCTTATATTTTTCAATATGGCTGCCAAGATGGCCATATTGAAAATCAGATTCGAACCATCTTAGGTCAGAACAAGCATGTGAAGTTTCAGCTTTGTCCAGTGATTTCTGAGAGGATGCTTACTACAGATGCCAGATGCTGAAACCAGGCCATGACATAAGCACACTGGATTTTAAGTCACATGATTCACCAAATTTGAACAAATACCCCAAGTAGTCCTGTTTCAAGGGGCTGATAAATACCCCAAACATTCAGTTCTCGAGAAAAAATCCCAGATTGCAAAATAAATAACATGAAAACAATACCAGATATAATTTTATTTTTATTCATTAACAGATACAGAAACATATGCACAGGATGTGTACTTGTTAAGTTATACAGTAAATGCACACAACAGAAAGTACACAGTTTTGCTGCATTAGAGCCCCCCTGCCTAGTGTACAGTGCTGATCCACTCTGCCTGGTCGGCACACCTGCTGTCTGCTAACCATACTCTACAGATCCCTCACAACCAGTGGCAGATGGCAGCAATGGATGTCATTAAGTACAATTGTAAACATTTTTTCAAATTTGGCACAGATTTACGAACATGTTACCATGGAGCAACAACAGAAAGTGCCACCACTTACAGTAGAGAATCTTACAATACAGGGATGTGAGAACACATATCCGACTACTTGGATATTAAAAGGACATAACTACAAAAAGAGATAAGAAACCTATTTTCGTTTTTGTGTTGCAGCCTCAATGTGTCATGATGGTGGTCTGACTGAGGTTGTTGCTCGTGGGACATCACATCATATATCACTACATATTGCGGCACCCTGAGAACACAACTACAAACTTAATGTTGGTATGCAAAACAAAAATAAAACAAGAAGTTATATTGAATAGCACTGAAAATAGTTCACTACAAAACAGTTGACTGTACAAGTTATGATAGTAAAATTGAATATCTACAAAATGGAAATAAAACACATTACTTCATCAAAAGCAGAGTAATGCTGGACAGACACAGTGACAGAGACGTGTACACAGGTACATTGGCTGGGGCAGTGGACCCCTTGCCTAACATCCAAGCAAAGCCCTCCAAAGTTTGTATTACCTTTCAGTGAAGCATTTCTATAACATCAAATAACTTAAGTGATAAACCCTGCACAAAGTTCCCTGTAGTGTAAGTCCTTATGAGAACCATTGATTTTATCATTACATTTATGGAGAGGAATACTCAAAAGATACCATTCTGTATAACATAATGTCAAGAAATAATATCAAGAAACTTATAATATAATCTCACCACAGAAGGGATTATACCACCATAGAATTTAACACTGAAAAAGACATTTGTTTTAGCTTTGTTGTAGACTCGTTGTAAAGAAGACCCTGTATGAAGACAGACCTGGTTAGAAAGAAGCCCAAAGCACTGCATAGGCCGAATAAGACGCATAAACCAATGAGGTGATCTATTTGAGAATAAGACCAGTGTCAAGCACCTACCAGCATTGTTAATGCTTCTCACTGTCCACATGGGGCCCGACTACAAGTTGCTGAGTATTGTGGATTGAAATGCCAGTTATCTCACACAAGGGGATTACATTGCACTGTTTACTTCTACGAATATCTTCACCTATAGTGTGTATGAAACAAGGACATATCTTGCAGTGACCTCCAGAACACTAGTCTCCAACAGCAAGGTTGGCCACTAGCATGGCAGCTCTTGGTCTACCTACGCTAGTACACCGGATACAAAGTCTACATTCATCTAGGAATACAAAAACCATTAACCCTATCAAGCACCAACATTACGTATGCAGTCTTATCCACAGTTGAATATACATGCATGGTAGTTTATATTATGCACACTCGCCTATCAAATCCTTCACGTCTAACACAGGACTAAATGCATTACATGGAGTTGGCGACATTCAACGTCACAACTCATGAAACCTTTTGGCTTCCAAGTTGAATATCTACATTCATAATCACAACTGAGGTGTAATCAATCACAGGTGTGACACTGGCCCAGTCACCTGCAGATGTGACAGTGGATCAGTCACCTGCAGGTGTGACAGTGGATCAGTGACCTGCAAGTGTGACAGTGGATCAGTCACACAAAGCTGTTACAGTGGCCCAGTCACCTGCAGGTGTGACAGTGGATCAGTCATCTGCAGGTGTGACAGTGGATCAGTCACCTGCAGTTTTGACAGTTGATCAGTAACCTGCAGGTGTGACAGTGGATCAGTGACCTGCAAGTGTGACAGTGGATCAGTCACACAAAGCTGTTAAAGTGGCCCAGTCACCTGCAGGTGTGACAGTGGATCAGTCACCTGCAGTTTTGACAGTGGATCAGTCACCTGCAGGTGTGACAGTGGATCAGTTACCTGCAAGTGTGACAGTGGATCAGTCATCTGCAGGTGTTACAGTGCATCAGTCACCTGCAGGTGTGACAGTTGATCAGTGACCTGCAAGTGTGACAGTGGATCAGTCACACAAGGCTGTTAAAGTGGCCCAGTCACCTGCAGGTGTGACAGTGGATCAGTTACCTGCAGTTGTGACAGAAGTTCAGGAACCTGCATGTGTGACAGTGGCCTAGTCACCTGCAGGTATGACAGTTGATCAGTCATCCACAGGTGATATAGTGGCCCGGTCACTGGTAGGTGTGACAGTTGATCAGTCACCCACAGGTGTTACAGTGGCTCAGTCACCTGCAGGTGTGACAGAAGTTCAGTTACCCAAAGGTGTTACAGTGCTCAGTCACCTGCAGGTGTGACAGTGACCCAGTCACCTGCAGGTGTGACAGTTGATCAGTCATCCACAGGTGATATAGTGGCCCGGTCACTGGTAGGTGTGACAGTTGATCAGTCACCCACAGGTGTTACAGTGGCTCAGTCACCTGCAGGTGTGACAGTGGATCAGTCACCTGCAGGTGTGACAGAAGTTCAGTTACCCAAAGGTGTTACAGTGCTCAGTCACCTGCAGGTGTGACAGTGACCCAGTCACCTGCAGGTGTGACAGTGAGTTGGTACAAGGGGTAAGATACACCATGATGTATGGATGTTATTTGGCTGCAAGGTGAAGCAAGGAACATTCCATGACTGCAGCACACTATCAGAGCTCAGCTGACTTGAGATGCTATGGACCTTCCCATCCACAGTCTCAGCATCATACTGTCCTTCATCACTCCCCACAACAGATACCGCAATAGCACACGCTGAGCTCCAGACTGGTGGTTCAAATGCTGATCAGCCGACCATGACATGGCCATGTTTGTCATCTACTGCACACGATATACCTGTACCACATAAAGACACCAATCTAATATCACAATCACAGTAAACATAATACCCAATGTAGAGTAGAAACCTGGAAGACCTTGGTTTTGTATTTGCTATAGAAACTGTTTTGGCTACCTACTGGTTGTAATATGTTCTTCTTACACTCTTCAACAGGTGATGTGATACACAGTTATGAGACTCCATCCTCTTCACTAGCCTTCCATCCACATACTTCTTGGATAATTTTATAATAAACACTTATCTGTTGATCATTGTGACTTCACTATTTGAAGCCATGTGATGGCAAATTCGAAAGAGACGAAACAGATCTGTGCTTATGCCCAAGGACTGAGTCAGGTGAGTTGGAAGTCGGAATCACTGTGTCACCCGTGTTCTACTTGGTACTCCTGCACTAGCTGCTGCATCATACACAGCCGTCCGGCCAGCCAGTGCAGCAGGACCAGTACATGATTAAATGTTACATACTCAATAAGTTACATGACAAAAATAACAACAACTGCATGATGCTGTGTAAGCAGTGGTCAGCTGGTCAGCCAATCACTGCTCTGCTTCCTTGGCCTTGTTGGCGTCATGATCACGCAGATGTCGGTAGATACTCTGGACATAGGTAAACACACACTTCCAGTCGGGGTTTTTCATCCGCACCATATCATCTGTATCCAGTAGAGGCGCTATGTCAGCCCTCTGCCTGCATAACAAAGTCACACAAGTTTAGCTAAGCTCAACTGAATAGCTGTTTTCTATCAAGTTTAAATTCATTTTAATTCTTAGCAGATTAAAACATGTCATAAGATACATTCGTTGTAGTAGTATCACACACTTTAGGTTATACCACAAGCCGGAGGTGAGGAGTGTAAAAACCGAACAAGAGTCATCAGAAAGATGACATATCCCCCCGGCAGCTGTCTGTAAAGTAACGACTAGTAAATGTGCAATTCTCTATGTAATGAGTCAACAGTTGAATGTTCTTTAAGAAGCATACATTGTTTACCCACTGAATAGTTTTCAAATTCTGGCCCGGAAACGAACCCATTCCCCAATGGAGTCTAGGTCCAACTTCTTTCCATAAAAATTGTAAAAAATAAAAATTCGTAAAAAAAAATTTATCAAAAGGCACCACTTCAGTATGTGCCTGACAGATTTGCCAAGTTTCGAGCAAATACACTGAATGGTTTTCAAATTCTGCCCCGGAAACGAACCCCATCCCAATTGAGTGTATGTCCAACTTCATTCCATAAAAATTTAAAAAAATAAAAATTAGAAAAATCCTAAAATATCAAAAGGCACCACTTCAGTATGTGCCTGATAGATTTGCCAAGTTTCAATCAAATACACTATATGGTTTTCGAATTCTGCCCCGGAAAAGGAAATGATTACGGACGGACAGACGGACGGACGGACAGACAGACTGGCTGCTATATCCCCCCGCATTTTATGCTAGGGGGATAACAAAGGACAAAGAACTACATGTGCCCTGTGGGTTCCTGCTATATCTCATAATATCATCCGTATCAAGTAGATACACAAAGTCAGCCCTCTGTCTGCACAACAAAGTCATCTTACTGTAGACATTACACCACCCTACAAGCATATATACGTCTCAATATCACCCAGTAGATACACAATGTCAGCCCTCGATCTGTCTGCACAACAATGTATTCTTACGGTAGACATTACACCACCCTACAAGCATATATACGTCTCAATATCACCCAGTAGATACACAATGTCAGCCCTCGATCTGTCTGCACAACAAAGTATTCTTACTGTAGACATAATACCATACTACAAGCATATATATGTCTCAATATCACCCAATAGATACACAAAGTCAGCCCTCGATCTGTCGGCACAACAAAGTCATCTTACTGTAGACATTACACCACCCTACAAGCATATATACGTCTCAATATCACCCAGTAGATACAAAAAGTCAGCCCTGGATCTGTCTGCACAACAAAGTCATCTTACTGTAGATATTATACCCCCCTACAAGCATATATACGTCTCAATATCACCCAGTAGATACACAAAGTCAGCCGTCGATCTGTCTGCACAACAAAGTCATCTTACTGTAGACATTACACCACCCTACAAACATATATACGTCTCAATATCACCCAGTAGATACACAAAGTCAGCCCTGGATCTGTCTGCACAACAAAGTCATCTTACTGTAGATATTACACCACCCTACAAGCATATATATGTCTCAATATCACCCAGTAGAAACTCAAAGTCAGCCCTGGATCTGTCTGCACAACAAAGTCATCTTACTGTAGATATTATACCACCCTACAAGCATATATACGTCTCAATATCACCCAGTAGATACAAAGACCTCGATCTGTCTGCACAACAAAGTCATCTTACTGTAGACATTACACCACCCTAAAAGCATATATACGTCTCAATATCACCCAGCAGATACACAAAGTCAGCCCTCAATCTGTCTGTACAACAAAGTTATCTTACTGTAGACAGTACACCACCCTACAAGCATATATACGTCTCAATATCACCCAGTAGATACACAGCCCTCGATCTGTCTCCACAACAAAGTCATCTTACTGTAGACATTACACCACCCTACAAGCATATATACGTCTCAATATCACCCAGTAGATACACAAAGTCAGCCCTGGATCTGTCTGCACAACAAAGTTATCTTACTGTAGACATTACACCACCCTACAAGCATATATACGTCTCAATATCACCCAGTAGATACACAAAGTCAGCCCTCGATCTGTCTGTACAACAAAGTTATCTTACTGTAGACATTATACCACCCTACAAGCATATATACGTCTCAATATCACCCAGTAGATACACAAAGTCAGCCCTGGATCTGTCTGCACAACAAAGTCATCTTACTGTAGATATAATACCATACTACAAGCATATATATGTCTCAATATCACCCAGTAGATACACAATGTCAGCCCTCAATCTGTCGGCACAACAAAGTCATCTTACTGTAGACATTACACCATACTACAAGCATATATATGTCTCAATATCACCCAATAGATACACAAAGTCAGCCCTCGATCTGTCTGCACAACAAAGTCATCTTACTGTAGACATAATACCATACTACAAGCATATATACGTCTCAATATCACCCAGTAGATACACAAAGTCAGCCCTGGATCTGTCTGCACAACAAAGTATTCTTACTGTAGACATAATACCATACTACAAGCATATATATGTCTCAATATCACCCAATAGATACACAAAGTCAGCCCTCGATCTGTCGGCACAACAAAGTCATCTTACTGTAGACATTACACCACCCTACAAGCATATATACGTCTCAATATCACCCAGCAGATACAAAAAGTCAGCCCTCGATCTGTCTGCACAACAAAGTCATCTTACTGTAGATATTATACCCCCCTACAAGCATATATACGTCTCAATATCACCCAGTAGAAACACAAAGTCAGCCCTCGATCTGTCTGCACAACAAAGTCATCTTACTGAAACATTACACCACCCTACAAGCATATATACGTCTCAATATCACCCAGTAGATACACAAAGTCAGCCCTGGATCTGTAGGCACAACAAAGTCATCTTACTGTAGATATTACACCACCCTACAAGCATATATATGTCTCAATATCACCCAGTAGAAACTCAAAGTCAGCCCTCAATCTGTCTGCACAACAAAGTCATCTTACTGTAGATATTATACCACCCTACAAGCATATATACGTCTCAATATCACCCAGTAGATGCAAAGACCTCGATCTGTCTGCACAACAAAGTCATCTTACTGTAGACATTACACCACCCTACAAGCATATATACGTCTCAATATCACCCAGCAGATACACAAAGTCAGCCCTCGATCTGTCTGTACAACAAAGTTATCTTACTGTAGACATTACACCACCCATAAGCATATATACGTCTCAATATCACCCAGTAGATACACAGCCCTCGATCTGTCTGCACAACAAAGTCATCTTACTGTAGACATTACACCACCCTACAAGCATATATACGTCTCAATATCACCCAGTAGATACACAAAGTCAGCCCTGGATCTGTCTGTACAACAAAGTTATCTTACTGTAGACATTACACCACCCTACAAGCATATATATGTCTCAATATCACCCAGTAGATACACAAAGTCAGCCCTCGATCTGTCTGTACAACAAAGTTATCTTACTGTAGACATTATACCACCCTACAAGCATATATACGTCTCAATATCACCCAGTAGATACACAAAGTCAGCCCTGGATCTGTCTGCACAACAAAGTCATCTTACTGTAGACATTATGCCACCTTACAAGCACATATACGTCTCAATATCACCCAGTAGATACACAATGTCAGCCCTCGATCTGTCTGCACAACAAAGTATTCTTAATGTAGATATTATACCACCCTACTAGCATATATACGTCTCAATATCACCCAGTAGATACACAAAGTCAGCCCTCGATCTGTCGGCACAACAAAGTCATCTTACTGTAGACATTACACCACTCTACAAGCTTATATTCGTCTCAATATCACCCAGCAGATACACAAAGTCAGCCCTCGATCTGTCTGCACAACAAAGTATTCCTACTGTAGACATTACACCACCCTACAAGCATATATACGTCTCAATATCACCCAGTAGATACACAAAGTCAGCCCTCGATCTGTCGGCACAACAAAGTCATCTTACTGTAGACATAACACCACCCTACAAGCAAATATACGTCTCAATATCACCCAGTAGAAACACAAAGTCAGCCCTGGATCTGTCTGCACAACAAAGTCATCTTACTGTAGACATTATACCACCCTACAAGCACATATACGTCTCAATATCACCCAGTAGATACACAATGTCAGCCCTCGATCTGTCTGCACAACAAAGTCATCTTACTGTAGACATTACACCACCCTACAAGCTTATATACGTCTCAATATCACCCAGCAGATACACAAAGTCAGCCCTCGATCTGTCTGCACAACAAAGTATTCTTACTGTAGATATTATACCACCCTACAAGCATATATACGTCTCAATATCACCCAGTAGATACACAAAGTCAGCCCTCGATCTGTCGGCACAACAAAGTCATCTTACTGTAGACATTACACCACTCTACAAGCTTATATACGTCTCAATATCACCCAGCAGATACACAAAGTCAGCCCTGGATCTGTCGGCACAACAAAGTCATCTTACTGTAGACATTATACCACCCTACAAGCATATATACGTCTCAATATCACCCAGTAGATACACAAAGTCAGCCCTCAATCTGTCTGTACAACAAAGTTATCTTACTGTAGACAGTACACCACCCTACAAGCATATATACGTCTCAATATCACCCAGTAGATACACAAAGTCAGCCCTCGATCTGTCTGTACAACAAAGTTATCTTACTGTAGACATTATACCACCCTACAAGCATATATACGTCTCAATATCACCCAGTAGATACACAAAGTCAGCCCTGGATCTGTCTGCACAACAAAGTCATCTTACTGTAGATATAATACCATACTACAAGCATATATATGTCTCAATATCACCCAGTAGATACACAATGTCAGCCCTCAATCTGTCGGCACAACAAAGTCATCTTACTGTAGACATTACACCATACTACAAGCATATATATGTCTCAATATCACCCAATAGATACACAAAGTCAGCCCTCGATCTGTCTGCACAACAAAGTCATCTTACTGTAGACATAATACCATACTACAAGCATATATACGTCTCAATATCACCCAGTAGATACACAAAGTCAGCCCTGGATCTGTCTGCACAACAAAGTATTCTTACTGTAGACATAATACCATACTACAAGCATATATATGTCTCAATATCACCCAATAGATACACAAAGTCAGCCCTCGATCTGTCGGCACAACAAAGTCATCTTACTGTAGACATTACACCACCCTACAAGCATATATACGTCTCAATATCACCCAGCAGATACAAAAAGTCAGCCCTCGATCTGTCTGCACAACAAAGTCATCTTACTGTAGATATTATACCCCCCTACAAGCATATATACGTCTCAATATCACCCAGTAGAAACACAAAGTCAGCCCTCGATCTGTCTGCACAACAAAGTCATCTTACTGAAACATTACACCACCCTACAAGCATATATACGTCTCAATATCACCCAGTAGATACACAAAGTCAGCCCTGGATCTGTAGGCACAACAAAGTCATCTTACTGTAGATATTACACCACCCTACAAGCATATATATGTCTCAATATCACCCAGTAGAAACTCAAAGTCAGCCCTGGATCTGTCTGCACAACAAAGTCATCTTACTGTAGATATTATACCACCCTACAAGCATATATACGTCTCAATATCACCCAGTAGATGCAAAGACCTCGATCTGTCTGCACAACAAAGTCATCTTACTGTAGACATTACACCACCCTACAAGCATATATACGTCTCAATATCACCCAGCAGATACACAAAGTCAGCCCTCGATCTGTCTGTACAACAAAGTTATCTTACTGTAGACATTACACCACCCATAAGCATATATACGTCTCAATATCACCCAGTAGATACACAGCCCTCGATCTGTCTGCACAACAAAGTCATCTTACTGTAGACATTACACCACCCTACAAGCATATATACGTCTCAATATCACCCAGTAGATACACAAAGTCAGCCCTGGATCTGTCTGTACAACAAAGTTATCTTACTGTAGACATTACACCACCCTACAAGCATATATATGTCTCAATATCACCCAGTAGATACACAAAGTCAGCCCTCGATCTGTCTGTACAACAAAGTTATCTTACTGTAGACATTATACCACCCTACAAGCATATATACGTCTCAATATCACCCAGTAGATACACAAAGTCAGCCCTGGATCTGTCTGCACAACAAAGTCATCTTACTGTAGACATTATGCCACCTTACAAGCACATATACGTCTCAATATCACCCAGTAGATACACAATGTCAGCCCTCGATCTGTCTGCACAACAAAGTATTCTTAATGTAGATATTATACCACCCTACTAGCATATATACGTCTCAATATCACCCAGTAGATACACAAAGTCAGCCCTCGATCTGTCGGCACAACAAAGTCATCTTACTGTAGACATTACACCACTCTACAAGCTTATATTCGTCTCAATATCACCCAGCAGATACACAAAGTCAGCCCTCGATCTGTCTGCACAACAAAGTATTCCTACTGTAGACATTACACCACCCTACAAGCATATATACGTCTCAATATCACCCAGTAGATACACAAAGTCAGCCCTGGATCTGTCTGCACAACAAAGTCATCTTACTGTAGACATAACACCACCCTACAAGCAAATATACGTCTCAATATCACCCAGTAGAAACACAAAGTCAGCCCTGGATCTGTCTGCACAACAAAGTCATCTTACTGTAGACATTATACCACCCTACAAGCACATATACGTCTCAATATCACCCAGTAGATACACAATGTCAGCCCTCGATCTGTCTGCACAACAAAGTCATCTTACTGTAGACATTACACCACCCTACAAGCTTATATACGTCTCAATATCACCCAGCAGATACACAAAGTCAGCCCTCGATCTGTCTGCACAACAAAGTATTCTTACTGTAGATATTATACCACCCTACAAGCATATATACGTCTCAATATCACCCAGTAGATACACAAAGTCAGCCCTCGATCTGTCGGCACAACAAAGTCATCTTACTGTAGACATTACACCACTCTACAAGCTTATATACGTCTCAATATCACCCAGCAGATACACAAAGTCAGCCCTGGATCTGTCGGCACAACAAAGTCATCTTACTGTAGACATTATACCACCCTACAAGCATATATACGTCTCAATATCACCCAGTAGATACACAAAGTCAGCCCTCAATCTGTCTGTACAACAAAGTTATCTTACTGTAGACATTACACCACCCTACAAGCATATATACGTCTCAATATCACCCAGTAGATACACAAAGTCAGCCCTCGATCTGTCTGCACAACAAAGTCATCTTACTGTAGACATTATACCACCCTACAAGCATATATACGTCTCAGTATCACCCAGTAGATACACAAAGTCAGCCCTCAATCTGTCTGTACAACAAAGTTATCTTACTGTAGACAATACACCACCCTACAAGCATATATACGTCTCAATATCACCCAGTAGATACACAAAGTCAGCCCTCGATCTGTCTGCACAACAAAGTCATCTTACTGTAGACATTATACCACCTTACAAGCATATATACGTCTGAATATCACCCAGTAGATACACAAAGTCAGCCCTCGATCTGTTTGCACAACAAAGTCATCTTACTGTAGACATTATACCACCTTACAAGCATATATATGTCTGAATATCACCCAGTAGATAAACAGCCCTGGATCTGTCTGCACAACAAAGTCATCTTACTGTAGACATTATACCACCCTACAAGCATATATACGTCTCAATATCACCCAGCAGATACACAAAGTCAGCCCTCGATCTGTCTGCACAACAAAGTCATCTTACTGTAGACATTACACCTCCCTACAAGCATTTATACGTCTCAATATCACCCAGTAGATACACAAAGTCAGCCCTCTGTGTACAGGTAGTAATGCAGTGGAGAATGACCTGCATTCATCATACTTACTCTGCAGTGTCAAAGGCCAGATCAAAGTTATACCGTCTGTTTTTTGGAGTGAGTGCATTGAAGTCGAAGGCATCCGGGAAGAAGTGATGGATGAGTGCACAGAATGCCAGTCCATTGTTCCAACAACTAGAGAAGTTGGTGATCTGTATCGTCTGAAAACACACGATGTTGGTACAGAAACTGCTGAATCATACATCCATACATAGTGTCACCAAGAAAAGTTGGTACAGGCCTATCCAATAAGATTGAAGTAAATCCTTTATATCAATAAAATGATGCAAATACATGGATAGTGAAGAGGGTGAAACTATATTGTTGTATAGGATAAACATATAATAATGTGAACTCACTATGTGCTGTGACCACATCTTACTGTCAGTCAGTCTGCCCAGTCAATCATTCATGTCGTGCAATCTTTTTTTTTTTTTTTTGGGGGGGGGGGGGGGGGGGGGCTAAACAGGGATCAATCATAAATAGGATACTCTGTTCTGGGGGTATTAGCCCCAAACAATGTTCATAAGCAAAATGTTAAACATATCAAAGAGATTAATTGGTGTGACACTATAGGCTCATGTGTGCACATCCTGGAACACTCACTTCCCAGCACGTCTTCTGGGTGATCTAAGTAACATACTGTCAAAGGGAAACAACACTCATTCTTTCAGTCGTCTAGCCGATGCCATTTTAATTGGCCTGCGTAATCACCTGAAGCCAATTAGCCCCAGCAACCCAAGAAACTGCGCTTCTGACCAACGAAGGGCCAACCGGAAAACCTCGTTGACAGCGAGGGGTAATCCCCTTGAATCTTTGCATTTGAGGGGTTGATGCTTACTATAACCTTTCACCTTTGCAAACTGCATGTGTAAATGTGTGTGTACAATTATGTAGTTTGGTATACAGAAAATATGTTTAGCTATTATTTTTGTAACAATGAAATTCAGTTCATATACTCAACAGCAATGACCCTTGTTTTTCAGGCGAACTGCATATGATACAATTACTGACAAAAGACTGCAAAATATCTCAAAAACGTTCACTGCTGCCTATGAGGGTGTCAAGGTAATAAAACACTCTGTGGTTTGCATTGTGTCTGGGGTAATTTCAATTGGGTTATACGTCCAGGTCTGATGTGGTGACTGTACCACATGTTATGTAATATGCACGTGGCAGCGCAGCAGGAGAGAAATGATTAGTATAGTTGCAAAAAACATCGATCAAAGGATTAATCGATAATATGTTGATTGATAAATAACTGTTATCCTGCACAGTGGATTTGTCAAAAATAAATGCATTTATATATGTCGGTTTACTAAAGCAGACGGAAAACTCTCTTATCTGGGTGTGAAGTGCTGATGTATAAACAACATACTTTGTTCCAAGGATTACCTGATAATATGTAGTTTGATTAATCACTGTTATCTTGCACAGTGGATTTGTCAAATTAACTGTTTATATGTGTCGGTTTACTAAAGCAGACGGAAAACTCTCATATCTGGGCGTGAAGTGCCGATGTATAAACAACATACTTTGTTCCAAGGATTAACCGATAATAAGTAGATTGATTGTTCATTGTTATCTAACTCTATGGAGTTTTTAAAGAACCATGGACATCATGAACATAGTTGTCACGTGTGCTATCTCAGTTGACCCATGAGACATGGCACCTATGTGAAACACCTGAGAAACGAACACAGGTCATAATATCATGAAATGCTAAATATATTTAAAAATATTAGATTGTTACAAAGACACGTGACAGCGGACATGTTTCTCTGTACAGCTTGAGAGGCATGGGATATTGTTCCTTCATGTGGATATCTGTGGATACATTCTTTGAACAAGGTAACTGCCTGATACTATACATATAACTTTTGTCAGGTGTAATGATACAGTAACGAACAGTATAACGGACACGGATATAGTGAACAAACGGATACAACGAACTGTTAAAAAATCCCCAATTTATCTCCAATATAATATCATATAAAATTTATGTATATAACGAACTCTCCACAGCGAACTAACGGATACAGCGAACTGATATCTGATCACCGACAAGCCCATCTACCACCAATTAGTGATGTGTATAATGAACTGAGAAATCTCACTCAGTGTCAAATGGCTGTATGCAATCAGCGGTGAATCAACACAATCGCCATGAATCAACACAATCAGTGGTGACGGATCAACCTTGCTAAACTTGCATTGTGTTAGTCTTACCTGTACATGTAATCTTGTCTGTAAAACATACATTAAACATATAAATTTTTACGAGATTGTGTCCAAGTGTCAGTTCACTTGCATATGCTATCATAGCAGGCAAAAGTAATATGAGTTTGATAACAATGCTAAAAAAATGTTATGAATTCAATGTTATTAAATGAATGTTATAAAATGTTATCAATTGAATGCTATGAAGTGATCACTGCTAATACAAGTCAATGCTGCAATTATGTGTCTTGTGTTTTGTTTTATCCAAGATGGCGGACGTTTCCGAGTGAAAATGTATATAACGAACAACGGATATAAGGAACTGATTTCTCTGGTCCCTTGTAGTTCATTATATCCATGTTCTACTGTATTTGCATTTTGTTTTCATTCATTTGCTGTAGCAAGAATGGGGGAGGCCTCAACGGTGACTGATCAAATTGTTCCCTACATAAAACACATGTCAATAGCAATCAGTTGTTCTAAAGTGCTACGCTTATGGTTATTATTATTTTACATATAATTAAAGCTGCAAAAAATTAAATCAATGTTGGAATATTTTATACCTGATAAAAACTAGTTTCAGATACTATTCATCTGATCATTGCATCAACATTCTTTGAAGTTATATTTATTGTGTATTGCTCTTTATTGCATAACTTTGTTATGATATACGGCTTCTCATTCTTCAATACTCCGATAGGTGTCGCTTCGCGCAGTGAGAAAAGCGCTGAACTCAAGTCGAACCAGTCGAAATTATAGTCCATAATAAGCAAATTTTGAGTCTGCAAAGAGAAAAAGCTGTCCATATTTCAATACTTTCAAACTTGGAGTGTTGTTTCCCTTTAAGCAGTGCTTAACCTCAACTCACCCTCTAGCTCATGTCTTATGGGGTATTCTTAGGTTACATAATATTCTGTTATGCAGTGCTAAACCTAAAATATGCTACACTTTGCTATTATACCAAGTGCATATAAAAAATGATATTGGAGAGAAAGCATCATCTCATACAACAACATTGTATCATTAAACACAAACATAGAAATATTTTAACAGAAGTATAAAATGTACACTAGAGCAGTGAAGAGACCAGAGCAAGACCATACAGAATGGACAGTGCAGGGTATCTCCTGCATGCGATAGTGGGAGAAGTTGGGTAATGGATATACAATAAAGCTGTCATGCAAACAAAGGTGCAACATAGCCGTAACATAGCTGAAACAAAGTAAAACATGATTGACAGACAACAAGGGTAGAACTGCAGGGTAAAAGGGGTTGCTGCAAAGTTTTGAGTCTAACTGTTTGCAACAAAAACTTCTGCAAACTATCCTTGAGTGCCTGAATCCCACTGTTGTCATCATCATTTGCATAACACTTGGAAGTTCTTTCTTCAAGTTTGGGAAGACGCGATAATCTGATGGTGCCAACTCTGGTGAATACAGAGGATGTTGGAAGCTCAGTGAGTTTAAAGCCACAGTCATGCATTGCTGCTATGGGAACAGCAGGCTTGTGCACAGGTGCATTGTCCTGGTCACCTTTAGTGACTTTCCACCACATTTAGCCTTGATATTCTCATACAGTTGCCAAATGGTCTGACCTTTCAGGAGGCAGGATTTCTTTGGAATCCCATAAAACCGAAGCCATCACCTTGCCAGCAGTTGGAATAATAATAATAATAATAATAATAATAATAATAATAATAATAATAATAATATTTATATTAATAATAATAATGTGCAGTTATATTGTGCTAGACTCCATACATAAGGTGCATGCTCAAAGCACTAACATTATTAACCCTCTCAATGGATCCGTGTGCACTTGCATACCATACTCAGCTCCATAGGGAGTATCCAACCCAAGCTGTCTGTGAGTGCTAGAAGGTTAACTGTCTCATCCTACTGGGTACCCATTCATTGCTGGGTGAGGAGGAAGAGGAGGAGATGCTAGATGTTTCCACTGCATTCACGGTTGTTAACACTATCCATGATTACAAATTGCACAGCAAAATCTGCTGCGTCTGCTTCAAGACAACACTTCTCACAATAGATGATGAACCTGGATTTCAGATCAGAAGTCAAAAGCCTTGGAAGCCAGTTCATTCCTCATAATGTTCACAACTCTCTCATGTGAGAGGCCTACTGTATTGACGGCTATATGGCATGTGGTGAGTTGTCAATTATCCATAATCATATCATGTATCTTGTCAACATTTTTCTCAGTGGTGGCAGATGAAGGTCTTGCTGATCTTTTAGGCTCTCTCTTCCCCTCTGCTGCCAACCTCTTTAACAGTTGCAGAAGAGTTACTTGATGACAGCACAGTAGCCAATTTTGCCCATTTTCATAAACAGAGAAAACCTAGTCGCTTTGATGCCCGCAGAAATATACTGCCTGGTTGTGTATTTGGTTCAAATGAAGCCTTTAAACAAGGAAGGTATAGTACTTAATACATAGAAACTGTTAGTTAGGCTCAGAACGTTTCAGCTACCTCTTGTAAGCAAGAAGTTATATATACATCTCATCTCCATGGCAACCATCTGTAACCAAACATGATAGAAACAAACAACACCATGCATAGACCCCATGCATTGGTGCATGACACCAGTGGGCCCCATGCATTGGTGCATGACACCAGTGGGCCCCATGCTTGTCTGGCTACAAGGCACAACACACTGAAGCATTCTGCAGTTTCTGTTAATCTGTGAAGATAACGTGTCATCAACACACTCACTGAACATACTCTTGGTTCATAGCAGAATTTGATTCTGTTTCTTATCAAGTATTAAACACACCAGACACACTGTTTACATCCCCAATTACTGATTCTGCTTTATACAATGTTTCCTCTAATTCAACTAATGATGAATGTGTGAAAGCTCAAAGTATTGCATGTATATCAAAACCATTCATTATTCTAACTCAGTACATGAACGAAAGAATTCCAAGATTGAGTTTCATCAGTGTTTGTGTTGTACACAGGGCACCCTCACACAGCCAGACCAGCCATCTGTTCGAATGACAAGCAGCGACCATGCCACCATACATGGGTACCTCATACTCTGCTGTCTTGGACTTGCACCAGTCTAGCAGCATCTGTTTAATAGCACTGGGGCTCCGCGTCATGCCACGCCCACGGCCAGCACTGGGACAAAAACACACAACATCAGTACTGAGTTTAGTGAAGAACAGAACCACTGGGAATGCCCTGTCACAGGACACACCTGCTAGAAGTGACACTGCATCATCAGCTGAAATAACACCTGTAACAGATGACACTGCATCCTCTGCTGAAATAACACCTGTAACAGATGACACTGCTTCCTCTGCTGAAATAACACCTGTAACAGGTGACACTGCATCATCAGTTGAAATAACACCTGTAACAGATGATACTGCATCCTCTGCTGAAATAACACCTGTCACAGATGACACTGCATCCTCTGCTGAAATAACACCTGTAACAGGTGACACTGCATCCTCTGCTGAAATAACACCTGTAGTGAAGGGACGTGATACTGATGAGAGAGAATACAGAGTAAGTACTACCAGTGCTGGATGGCTGTCACTAGACACAGGGTTATCTAGTCCTTCAAAGAAGGACTGAGTATCTACAGAAGACATTAAGATGTAGTATCAAATCTAATCTCTCCACCCCTTCCTGTTCTGTCCAGGGCAGAAACTAAGCCAATGACACACCGTCTTAATTCTACATATTACACATGTTTCAATTTAAAAAGGGCATGGGTGACCCAGTCTTCCAAACTGATGCAATTTGGTGTGCGGAGTTGCTTCCCTTAGGCAGATATGAAATATGTGATCATTGGTTCAAATTCTAGACTCGCCCTGATGGTGTTTTTTGGTTTGCCAGCACCAAAAAAACTTTGAGCTGTTCTCCCATATTAAGATGACATGCCATGATATGACTAAAATACTGTTCAAAGTTAAACTCTATATTTAAATGTCATCCAGTATAAAGCATCATCCATCATCCTAACCACATATCGTTCATACCCCTACCCTTCATGTACACCCCCATATACCGATGTAATCACCAATATGACAAACACCCCACCCCCATCATCAGCAGAAATTAAAGGACTGCGAAAAGTACTGAGGTACTGGAGGTTAGTTGTTTGGACCACCACCAGGAGGCACTACTGACACCTGTACCTTGTATTCTTTCGTGTTGTGTTTGCAGAAGGCAAGCACTTCCTGTTTGATGGCAATAGCGTTACGTCTCATTGTTGTAGCAGCCTTCTTAGCCAGTGATACGGTAACTAAAGCACTGTGGACAGAACAAACTTATGTAACATGCATACATGCAGCTTCATACAACATAAATACAGGCTATACAACATTCTACCATGACAGTTTAGAATCTTGCATTCTGATTGGTCTGCGGTATCAAATTTTTATTGGACCAAAATATGTCACACTGCTTAGACTTCCAAACTGTAGGACTTTATAACATCCTAATAGTGGTGTGTACTTCACAACAAAACATTACACAGGTCACTTCATTTCCTCTATGGAAGTCAGTTTGAATAATGCTTACAGGATATCTACCTATGTGATGTTACAGTGTCTCACTAAAGTGGTTTACATATTATGGTGACAATTCGGGTTTCAGTACAAAAAGTAAACACATATGCAGATTAAAACCAATCTCCTTGGATCCCGGAATTCAACCTACTGAAAAATATTTGGCTCAACTGATGCCACACCACAGATCATTTCTGATGTAACCAACAAGATTGCTTTTGTTTTGTCATTATGTCATGGTAGAATGCATATAAACCAACTGTGTTTTCAATGAAATGGTTTTGAACTTTGATTTGATACCTGTAAATTTTTCAAATTCAAAACCTCACTCTACTGAATGAAATTTAGAGGTATCGAACATACGTTTAAAACTTCTCCATTGAAAACACAGATGGTTTATCGCCTAATTATACAACACTATACAATACACAAATGTATCAGCAGGAATGTCCATCATCTATAGCAACACTGTATCAGGGTACAATTTCATCCTGATCACAGACCATTGACCAGCCAAGTGTCAGCCATACAGTAAAGATCACTCTGGAATACATTCCAAACACAAATAGTTCTCTTTTCCCTGGATAAGAAATAAAATTAAAATATCAAAAACTACGAAAAGGTTTTACATGAAAAAAAGACATCTAATATCCCATTTTCAAGGTAGGACTTCATACCTGTGAGTATCTATCTATGATCAGCTAGGACTTCATACCTGTGAGAATCTATCTATGACTAGGACTTCATACCTGTGAGTATCTATCTATGATCAGCTAGGACTTCATACCTGTGAGTATCTATCTATGATCAGCTAGGACTTCATACCTGTGAGTATCTATCTATGATCAGCTAGGACTTCATACCTGTGAGTATCTATCTATGAACAGCTTGGACTTCATACCTGTGAGTATCTATCTATGATCAGCTAGGACTTCATACCTGTGAGTATCTATCTATGATCAGCTAGGACTTCATACCTGTGAGTATCTATCTATGACTAGGACTTCATACCTGTGAGTATCTATCTATGAACAGCTTGGACTTCATACCTGTGAGTATCTATCTATGATCAGCTAGGACTTCATACCTGTGAGTATCTATCTATGATCAGCTAGGACTTCATACCTGTGAGTATCTATCTATGATCAGCTAGGACTTCATACCTGTGAGTATCTATCTATGATCAGCTAGGACTTCATACCTGTGAGTATCTATGATCAGCTAGGACTTCATACCTGTGAGTATCTACCTATGACTAGCACTTCATACCTGTGAGTATCTATCTGTGACTAGCACTTTATACCTGTGAGTATCTATCTATGACCAGCACTTTATACCTGTGAGTATCTATCTATGATCAGCTAGGACTTCATACCTCTGAGTATCTATCTGTGACTAGCACTTCATACCTGTGAGTATCTATCTATGACTAGCAACACATAGTACTTAACATCTACAATCCACTGCACACATGTTCCGCCTCAAATATCATTCAACACACAAGCGATACTAGGGTAACATCTCTATTAGGCTGACAACACTTGGTCCTGTAGCAAGGACTATTAAGAAATCTGAGGTAGGCAGATGCCCCTTGTCTGAACTGTGGAAAAAAGTGTCTTTGGTCACAATTAATGATCATACTTTGAGTGTACGAGTAAGCAAAACCAAATGTTTTATAGTAAAGTCCTTCAGAATCTGCAGTTGGTGCACTGCAACACTTCATCTACAGCAACAGGATTTGTCGTCATTTTTTGTATTACAACAAAATCGAGAGGTTACTGATACCTTTGCCACATGCTAACGACTGAATATACATACATTTGTATAAGTTTTATATAGACAGTATGGTACTTCGCAGAGGTTTGATGACAAACAAAATACCCCCTCGCTTGTTGGGCAGACTATGCAGTGAAGCATCCATGCAATCAAACAGGACTTGCATAATGGTCACACAATTTAGGAAGACATCCATGAACCATCATGGACGTGAGGACCAGTGATGCATCTACCCCTGGAAGTAATCTGTCCAGGACCATGAACCATGAACCATGAACCATGAACCGTCACATAATCACATACAACAATCACAGTGTTGAAATAACAGGCAGAGTTTCATTCACATGCTCAATTGCAATATAACACATCATCAAATAATAGCCCTTGTATTAAAATATGTATCCTACTGCATGTGTTCTGTCATGTTTCAAAACTAGGAAACCAAAAGTAGTTCACTGGCTTTTTGAAGAGCTACTACATTGTACTTCTCAACAGTGGGAATGCTGTACTTACTTGGGTTGTGCAGGACTATTGGTGGCATCCATCTGTTTGAAGGCCGCCATGGCACCACGAGAACCTCCTGGTTTTGCTGCAACACAAAACACGCACACACTGACATTCTGCAGTTGACAAGTCTCAGAACTTCCAAGTTTTTTGTAGTGAGGCAGTTGAAACCTTTAATGTGCTGATCAAGTTAAATATGAAATAAGTTTTCACAATTCCAATTTAAAATTTATATCCTACGAAACTCTGAGTAAAACCATGCATAGTATCTTTTCCAATTGTCCTCTTGTGCCTGGTATGAGGTGACTACAATGTACAAGGAATGTACAATGCCTGAGACATGCTACACATGGCAACACACAGTAAACACACACTGCTATAGAACAACAGTAATCATACAAGGAGGGATTCATTAATTAACTACAAATGACACACAGTATGATAAGCTTCCTGTGATGCCCACATGTTGAGGTGTGCCTCTACCTCCCCATGACTCTGTCTTCTCTGACGTATGTACCACCCCATCGCTACTGTTCCAGGACTCTGTCTTCACCATCAGCCTCCCACTGGTGCCCGGGGGACTCGTGGTCTGAAGCTGGTCAGACAGCTTTCTCAATGCTTCTGCTGAGGTGGGCAAAACAAGAAACCAAAGAGCATTCAACCAAAAGGTCCTACACATTCAAAACTTAAAAGTTAGGACAATCAGGGACCACAACATGCATTTAATGAATGATAAAATGAAGAATGATGAGAATGTTAACAAGCAACAGGTCTTTCTGCGGCTGTGTTTTCTGTGACTGATGATGACAAAGTAACTTACAGAGATCCATGCAGGGTCTCGGCATGCTTTTACACACATACACACGGAAAAGTAGGCAACATGCCCAATCTACATACCTGCCCCACTTCCCCCATCTGCACACCTACCCCACCTACCCCATCTGCACACCTACCCCACCTACCCCATCTGCACACCTACCCCACCTACCCCATCTGCACACCTACCCCACCCACCCCATCTGCACACCTACCCCACCTACCCCATCTGCACACCTACCCCACCTACCCCATCTGCATACCTGCCCCACCTCCCCCATCTGCACACCTACCCCACCTACCCCATCTGCACACCTACCCCACCTACCCCATCTGCACACCTACCCCACCTACCCCATCTGCTCACCTACCCCACCTACCCCATCTGCACACCTACCCCACCCACCCCATCTGCACACCTACCCCACCTACCCCATCTGCACACCTACCCCACCTACCCCATCTGCATACCTGCCCCACCTCCCCCATCTGCACACCTACCCCATCTGCACACATACCCCACCTACCCCATCTGCATACCTGCCCCACCTACCCCATCTGCATACCTGCCCCACCTACCCCATCTGCTCACCTACCCCACCTACCCCATCTGCACAACTACCCCACCTACCCCATCTGCACACCTACCCCACCTACCCCATCTGCATACCTGCCCCACTTCCCCCATCTGCACACCTACCCCATCTGCACACCTACCCCACCTACCCCATCTGCATACCTGCCCCAGCTGCCCCATCTGCATACTTACCCTACCTGCCCCATCTGCACACCTACGCCACCTACCCCATCTGCACACATACCCCACCTACCCCATCTGCATACCTGCCCCAGCTGCCCCATCTGCATACTTACCCTACCTGCCCCATCTGCACACCTACCCCACCTGCATACCTGCCCCAGCTGCCCCATCTGCATACCTACCCCACCTGCATACCTACCCCACCTGCACCATCTGCATACCTACCCCATCTGCACACCTACCCCACCTGCATACCTGCCCCAGCTGCCCCATCTGCATACTTACCCCACCTGCCCCATCTGCATGCCTACGCCATCTAGATACCTGCCCAGCTGCCCCATCTGCATACCTGCCCCTGCTGCCCCATCTGCATACCTGCCCCTGCTGCCCCATCTGCAGACATGCCCCGCCTGCCCCATCTGCATACCTGCCCTGCCTGCTCCATCTGCATACCTGCCCCATCTGCATACCTGCCCCGCCTGCTCTATCTGCATACCTGCCCCATCTGCATACCTGCCCCGCCTGCTCCATCTGCATACCTGCCCCGCCTGCCCCATCTGCATACCTGCCCCATTTGCATACCTGCCCCGCCTGCTCCATCTGCATACCTGCCCCATCTGCATACCTGCCCCGCCTGCCCCTCTTGCATGCCTGCTCTATCTGCATACCTGCCCCGCCTGCATGCCTGCTCCATCTGCATACCTGCCCCGCCTGCTCCATCTGCATACCTGCCCCGCCTGCCCCATCTGCATACCTGCCCCGCCTGCTCCATTTGCATACCTGCCCCATCTGCATACCTGCCTCGCCTGCTCCATCTGCATACCTGCCCCATCTGCATACCTGCCCCGCCCGCTCCATCTGCATACCTGCCCCATCTGCAAACCTGCCCCGCCTGCCCCATCTGCATACCTGCCCCGCCTGCTCTTTCTGCATACCTGCCCCATCTGCATACCTGCCCCACCTGCATGCCTGCTCCATCTGCATACCTGCCACGCCTGCTCCATCTCCTCCATACCTGCCCCGCCTGCTCCATCACCATACTTGCTCCATCTCCATACCATATTCCCCATCTACATACCTGCCCAATCTACATACCTGCCCCACCTGTCCTATCTACATACCTGCCCTACCTGTCCTATCTACATACCTAGCCCACCTGTCCTATCTACATACCTGTCCCACATACATACCTGTCCCACCTGTCCTATCTACATACCTGCCCCATCTACATACCTGCCCCACCGGTCCTATCTACATACCTGCCCCATCTGTCCTATCTACATACCTACCCCACCTGTCCTATCTACATACCTTCCCCACCTGTCCTATAAACATACCTGTCCCACCTGTCCTATCTACATACCTGCCCCACCTGCCCTATCTACATACCTGTCCCACCTGTCCTATATACATACCTGTCCCACCTGTCCTATCTACATACCTGCCCCATCTACATACCTGCCCCACGGTCCTATCTACATACCTGCCCCACCTGCCCTATCTACATACCTGCCCCACTTGCCCTATCTACATACCTGCCCCATCTGTCCTATCTACATACCTACCCCACCTGTCCGATCTACATACCTTCCCCACCTGTCCTATAAACATACCTGTCCCACCTGTCCTATCTACATACCTGCCCCACCTGCCCTATCTACATACCTGTCCCACCTGTCCTATCTACATACCTGCCCCATCCACATACCTGACCCACCTGCCCTATCTACATACCTTCCCCACCTGCCCTATCTACATACCTGTCCTATATACATACCTGTCCCACCTGTCCTATCTACATACCTGCCCCATCCACATACCTGACCCACCTGCCCTATCTACATACCTTCCCCACCTGCCCTATCTACATACCTGTCCTATATACATACCTGTCCCACCTGCCCTATCTACATACCTGCCCCACCTGTCCTATATACATACCTGTCCCACCTGTCCTATCTACATACCTGCCCCATCTACATACCTGCCCCACCTGTCCTATCTACATACCTGCCCTATCTACATACAGTGATCCCTCGCTATTGGGCTCTTCGTGAAAGCGCTACCTCGGTTACTATGCGCGGTATCGCATGGCTCCCAAAGTTTATGTACACTTTTACTACTGAGAGTTTTACACAGCCGTGATTGTATTGTTGTTCGTTGTTCATTTGCACATAATGCTTCTCATTGCATAATCAACCGTTTATCGCTGAATGGAGTTCTAATAATCTGTTTGAAAACATCCACGGCAAGTCCTGGAAATACGATTGTTCTACCAGTTAACTTTTCACACTATACATCCTTTGATCTTAGAAGCGCATGCATGCAATAAAAGAGAACCACAAGCGAAGTTTATTTTCTTAATTAGTGGGCAATCCAATTTGAGGCGACACTGTCAACTCACATGTAGTTGCTGTCACAACACGGCGGTCATTCCTTTTGATTCGGATCAAGTAACCGTATCAAACCAATTAATCTGGCTTGAATGTGTATCTATATTTGCATGAATGTGTATGAATGCGCGTAGTGCTGGTCAAAACTCTCGTTTTCCGTATTTCAAGCAACATGACCAATCAATGCCACTGAATCACTCTGTACTTGTGTAATGAATTGTGATTGGCTCTTCACTCATAGTGTCTGTTACTACCATTATCGATCGATATTTTCATGTAAGTAGACTACATTCACATTGAATGTGACAGTTAAGGCTTGTAAATAATAACAAACGGCGAAAACATAATGGATATATATTTTTACACTATGAACGGTAAACAACTTGTATCATTGCAATGTGCGAGACAAGGGGAAGATCGTGAGATTGGCCGAGCGCGCTCCCCCGCCTCGGCCTCGGTTAAACGGCTCATCGTCTATAACGCCCACCAATTATTTGGACCCCATTGGTAGCATTGTAGCGAGGGACCACCTGCCCTAGCAACATACCTGTCCCACCTGCCCTATCTACATACCTGCCCCACCTGTCCTATCTACATACCTGCCCCATCTGTCCTATCTACATACCTGCCCCACCTGTCCTATCTACATACCTGCCCCACCTGTCCTATCTACATACCTGCCCCACCTGTCCTATCTACATACCTGCCCCACCTGTCCTATCTACATACCTGTCCCACCTGCCCTATCTACATACCTGCCCCACCTGTCCTATCTACATACCTGCCCCATCTGTCCTATCTACATACCTGCCCCACCTGTCCTATCTACATACCTGCCCCACCTGTCCTATCTACATACCTGCCCCACCTGTCCTATCTACATACCTGCCCCACCTGTCCTATCTACATACCTGCCCCACCTGTCCCATCTACATACCTGCCCCACCTGTCCTATCTACATACCTGCCCCACCTGTCCTATCTACATACCTGCCCCACCTGTCCTATCTACATACCTGTCCCACCTGCCCTATCTACATACCTGCCCCACCTGTCCTATCTACATACCTGCCCCATCTGTCCTATCTACATACCTGCCCCATCTGTCCTATCTACATACCTGCCCCACCTGTCCTATCTACATACCTGCCCCACCTGTCCTATCTACATACCTGCCCCACCTGTCCTATCTACATACCTGCCCCATCTGTCCTATCTACATACCTGCCCCACCTGTCCTATCTACATACCTGCCCCACCTGTCCTATCTACATACCTGCCCCACCTGTCCTATCTACATACCTGCCCCACCTGTCCTATCTACATACCTGCCCCACCTGTCCTATCTACATACCTATCCCACCTGCCCTATCTACATACCTGTCCCACCTGCCCTATCTACATACCTGCCCCACCTGTCCTATCTACATACCTGCCCCACCTGCCCTATCTACATACCTGCCCCACCTGTCCTATCTACATACCTGCCCCATCTGTCCTATCTACATACCTGCCCCACCTGTCCTATCTACATACCTGCCCCACCTGTCCTATCTACATACCTGTCCCACCTGCCCTATCTACATACCTGCCCCACCTGTCCTATCTACATACCTGCCCCATCTGTCCTATCTACATACCTGCCCCATCTGTCCTATCTACATACCTGCCCCACCTGTCCTATCTACATACCTGCCCCACCTGTCCTATCTACATACCTTTCCCATCTACATACCTGCCCCACCTGTCCTATCTACATACCTGCCCCACCTGTCCTATCTACATACCTGCCCCACCTGTCCTATCTACATACCTGCCCCACCTGTCCTATCTACATACCTGTCCCACCTGCCCTATCTACATACCTGCCCCACCTGTCCTATCTACATACCTGCCCCACCTGTCCTATCTACATACCTGCCCCACCTGTCCTATCTACATACCTGCCCCACCTGTCCTATCTACATACCTTTCCCATCTACATACCTGCCCCACCTGTCCTATCTACATACTTTTCCCATCTACATACCTGCCCCACCTGTCCTATCTACATACCTGCCCCACCTGTCCTATCTACATACCTGCCCCACCTGTCCTATCTACATACCTTTCCCATCTACATACCTGCCCCACCTGTTCTATCTACATACCTGCCCCACCTGTCCTATCTACATACCTGCCCCACCTGTCCTATCTACATACCTGCCCCACCTGTCCTATCTACATACCTGCCCCACCTGTCCTATCTACATACCTTTCCCATCTACATACCTGCCCCACCTGTCCTATCTACATACCTGCCCCACCTGTCCTATCTACATACCTGCCCCACCTGTCCTATCTACATACCTGCCCCACCTGTCCTATCTACATACCTGCCCCACCTGTCCTATCTACATACCTGCCCCACCTGTCCCATCTACATACCTGCCCCACCTGTCCTATCTACATACCTGCCCCACCTGTCCTATCTACATACCTGCCCCACCTGTCCTATCTACATACCTGTCCCACCTGCCCTATCTACATACCTGCCCCACCTGTCCTATCTACATACCTGCCCCATCTGTCCTATCTACATACCTGCCCCATCTGTCCTATCTACATACCTGCCCCACCTGCCCTATCTACATACCTGCCCCACCTGTCCTATCTACATACCTGCCCCACCTGTCCTATCTACATACCTGTCCCACCTGTCCTATCTACATACCTTTCCCATCTACATACCTGCCCCACCTGTCCTATCTACATACCTGCCCCACCTGTCCTATCTACATACCTGCCCCATCTGTCCTATCTACATACCTGCCCCATCTGTCCTATCTACATACCTTCCCCACCTGTCCTATCTACATACCTGTCCCACCTGCCCTATCTACATACCTGCCCCACCTGTCCTATCTACATACCTGCCCCACCTGTCCCATCTACATACCTGCCCCACCTGTCCTATCTACATACCTGCCCCACCTGTCCTATCTACATACCTGCCCCACCTGTCCTATCTACATACCTGTCCCACCTGCCCTATCTACATACCTGCCCCACCTGTCCTATCTACATACCTGCCCCATCTGTCCTATCTACATACCTGCCCCATCTGTCCTATCTACATACCTGCCCCACCTGTCCTATCTACATACCTGCCCCACCTGTCCTATCTACATACCTGCCCCACCTGTCCTATCTACATACCTGCCCCATCTGTCCTATCTACATACCTGCCCCACCTGTCCTATCTACATACCTGCCCCACCTGTCCTATCTACATACCTGCCCCACCTGTCCTATCTACATACCTGCCCCACCTGTCCTATCTACATACCTGCCCCACCTGTCCTATCTACATACCTGTCCCACCTGCCCTATCTACATACCTGTCCCACCTGCCCTATCTACATACCTGCCCCACCTGTCCTATCTACATACCTGCCCCACCTGCCCTATCTACATACCTGCCCCACCTGTCCTATCTACATACCTGCCCCATCTGTCCTATCTACATACCTGCCCCACCTGTCCTATCTACATACCTGCCCCACCTGTCCTATCTACATACCTGTCCCACCTGCCCTATCTACATACCTGCCCCACCTGTCCTATCTACATACCTGCCCCATCTGTCCTATCTACATACCTGCCCCATCTGTCCTATCTACATACCTGCCCCACCTGTCCTATCTACATACCTGCCCCACCTGTCCTATCTACATACCTTTCCCATCTACATACCTGCCCCACCTGTCCTATCTACATACCTGCCCCACCTGTCCTATCTACATACCTGCCCCACCTGTCCTATCTACATACCTGCCCCACCTGTCCTATCTACATACCTGCCCCACCTGTCCTATCTACATACCTGTCCCACCTGCCCTATCTACATACCTGCCCCACCTGTCCTATCTACATACCTGCCCCACCTGTCCTATCTACATACCTTTCCCATCTACATACCTGCCCCACCTGTCCTATCTACATACTTTTCCCATCTACATACCTGCCCCACCTGTCCTATCTACATACCTGCCCCACCTGTCCTATCTACATACCTGCCCCACCTGTCCTATCTACATACCTTTCCCATCTACATACCTGCCCCACCTGTTCTATCTACATACCTGCCCCACCTGTCCTATCTACATACCTGCCCCACCTGTCCTATCTACATACCTGCCCCACCTGTCCTATCTACATACCTGCCCCACCTGTCCTATCTACATACCTTTCCCATCTACATACCTGCCCCACCTGTCCTATCTACATACCTGCCCCACCTGTCCTATCTACATACCTGCCCCACCTGTCCTATCTACATACCTGCCCCACCTGTCCTATCTACATACCTGCCCCACCTGTCCTATCTACATACCTGCCCCACCTGTCCCATCTACATACCTGCCCCACCTGTCCTATCTACATACCTGCCCCACCTGTCCTATCTACATACCTGCCCCACCTGTCCTATCTACATACCTGCCCCACCTGCCCTATCTACATACCTGCCCCACCTGTCCTATCTACATACCTGCCCCATCTGTCCTATCTACATACCTGCCCCATCTGTCCTATCTACATACCTGCCCCACCTGCCCTATCTACATACCTGCCCCACCTGTCCTATCTACATACCTGCCCCACCTGTCCTATCTACATACCTGTCCCACCTGTCCTATCTACATACCTTTCCCATCTACATACCTGCCCCACCTGTCCTATCTACATACCTGCCCCACCTGTCCTATCTACATACCTGCCCCATCTGTCCTATCTACATACCTGCCCCATCTGTCCTATCTACATACCTTCCCCACCTGTCCTATCTACATACCTGTCCCACCTGCCCTATCTACATACCTGCCCCACCTGTCCTATCTACATACCTGCCCCACCTGTCCCATCTACATACCTGCCCCTGGCTTTGCGTACTGCATGCCACCCATGCCTGATGTTTTTGTTATGGTCGTTTCTGTTTTCTTCACAGTCTGTGTACGAGTGCCGCCTCCTGCAATCCACAAGTCAATGTTTCAGACATGACATTCACAAGTATATTCATGAATCTTGTATACTGCAGATCAAATGTATATGAACAGCATCTATAAACATTTTGTGATGTAACACTACTGTGTGAACAGCTTCTTCAACACACTGATGTACTATGAATGTATTCACTGACCAGGAAACCCTGGGCTTTCCACCAGATTGCTCCGGACATTCGAAAGGAAATGCTCCAGCTTAAATTGAATTGGAAGGTTTTACAGTTGCATTTTATAAACTGGCCTTTTGATATGAATAAAATGTTGATTTTTGATTGAATAAAAGCCAAAACAAATTGCAAGTGAAAATACTGTGTGGATGTACTGGTGGTGGTGGTGTTAGTGTAGGGGCGGGGGTCTACTTACCATCTGCCTTCAGTGTGGATGTACTGGTGGTGGTGGTGGTGGTGATGCAGGGGCGGGGGTCTACTTACTATCTGCCTTCTGTGTGGATGTACTGGTGGTGGTGATGCAGGGGCTGGGGTCTACTTACCATCTGCCTTCAGTGTGGATGTACAGGTGGTGGTGGTGGTGGTGATGCAGGGGCGGGGGTCTACTTACCATCTGCCTTCAGTGTGGATGTACTGGTGGTAGTGGTGGTGGTGATGCAGGGGCTGGGGTCTACTTACCATCTGCCTTCAGTGTGGATGTACTGGTGGTGGTGGTGGTAGTGATGCAGGGGCTGGGGTCTACTTACCATCTGCCTTCAGTGTGGATGTACTGGTGGTGGTGGTGGTGATGCAGGGGCGGGGGTCTACTTACCATCTGCATTCTGTGTGGATGTACTGGGGGTGGTGGTGGTGGTGGTGTAGGTGCGGGGTCTACTTACCATCTGCATTCTGTGTTGATGTACTGGTGGTGGTGGTAGTGCAGGGGCTGGGGTCTACCTACCATCTGCCTTCTGTGTGGATGTACTGGTGGTGGTGGTGGTGGTGATGCAGGGGCGGGGGTCTACTTACCATCTGCATTCTGTGTGGATGTACTGGGGGTGGTGGTGGTGGTGGTGGTGGTGGTGGTGTAGGTGCGGGGTCTACTTACCATCTGCATTCTGTGTTGATGTACTGGTGGTGGTGGTAGTGCAGGGGCTGGGGTCTACCTACCATCTGCCTTCTGTGTGGATGTACTGGTGGTGGTGGTAGTGCAGGGGCTGGGGTCTACCTACCATCTGCCTTCTGTGTGGATGTACTGGTGGTGGTGGTAGAGCAGGGGCTGGGGTCTACTTACCATCTGCATTCTGTGTGGATGTACTGGTGGTGGTGGTAGTGCAGGGGCTGGGGTCTACCTACCATCTGCCTACTGTGTGGATGTACTGGTGGTGGTGGTGGTGGTGGTGATGCAGGGGCGGGGTCTACCTACCATCTGCCTACTGTGTGGATGTACAGGTGGTGGTGGTGGTGGTGTAGGGGCAGGGGTCTTCTTACCATCTGCATGGCTGGGGTCTAGCTACCATCTGCCTTTCGTGTGGATGTACTGGTGGTGGTGGTAGTGCAGGGGCTGGGGTCTACCTACCATCTGCCTACTGTGTGGATGTACTGGTGGTGGTGGTAGAGCAGGGGCGGGGGTCTACCTACCATCTGCCTACTGTGTGGATGTACAGGTGGTGGTGGTGGTGGTGTAGGGGCAGGGGTCTACTTACCATCTGCATGGCTGGGGTCTAGCTACCATCTGCCTTTCGTGTGGATGTACTGGTGGTGGTGGTAGTGCAGGGGCTGGGGTCTACCTACCATCTGCCTACTGTGTGGATGTACTGGTGGTGGTGGTAGAGCAGGGGCTGGGGTCTACCTACCATCTGCCTACTGTGTGGATGTACTGGTGGTGGTGGTAGAGCAGGGGCTGGGGTCTACCTACCATCTGCCTACTGTGTGGATGTACTGGTGGTGGTGGTGGTGGTGACGCAGGGGCGGGGTCTACTTATCATCTGCCTTCTGTGTGGATGTACTGGTGGTGGTGGTGCTGGTGATGCAGGGGCTGGGCTCTACCTACCATCTGCCTTCTGTGTGGATGTACTGGTGGTGGTGGTGCTGGTGATGCAGGGGCTGGGGTCTACTTACCATCTGCCTTCTGTGTGGATGTACTGGTGGTGGTGGTGGTGATGCATGGGCTGGGGTCTACTTACCATCTGCCTTCTGTGTGGATGTACTGGTGGTGGTGGTGGTGATGCAGGGGCTGGGGTCTACTTACTATCTGCCTTCTGTGTGGATGTACTGGGGGTGGTGGTGGTGGTGGTGGTGGTGATGATGCAGGGCCAGGGATCTACCTACCATCTGCCTTCTGTTTGGATGTACTGGTGGTGGTGGTGGTGATGATGCAGGGGCGGGGGTCTACCTACCATCTGCCTTCTGTGTGGATGTACTGGTGGTGGTGGTGGTGGTGATGCAGGGCCAGGGATCTACCTACCATCTGCCTTCTGTTTGGATGTACTGGTGGTGGTGGTGGTGATGATGCAGGGGCGGGGGTCTACCTACCATCTGCCTTCTGTGTGGATGTACTGGTGGTGGTGGTGGTGGTAGTTATGCAGGGCCAGGAATCTACCTACCATCTGCCTTCTGTGTGGATGTACTGCTGGTGGTGGTGGTGATGGTGATGCAGGGCCAGGGATCTACTTACCATCTGCCTTCTGTGTGGATGTACTGGTGGTGGTGGTGGTGGTGGTGATGCAGGGGCTGGGGTCTACCTACCTTTCGCCTTCTGTGCGGATGTACTGGTGGTGGTGGTGATGGTGATGCAGGGGCTGGGGTCTACTTACCATCTGCCTTCTGTGTGGATGTACTGGTGGTGGGGTAGGTGGTGGTGGTGGTGATGCAGGGCTAGAGATCTACCTACCATCTGCCTTCTGTGTGGATGTACTGGTGGTGGTGGTAGAGCAGGGGCGGGGGTCTACCTACCATCTGCCTACTGTGTGGATGTACAGGTGGTGGTGGTGGTGGTGTAGGGGCAGGGGTCTACTTACCATCTGCATGGCTGGGGTCTAGCTACCATCTGCCTTTCGTGTGGATGTACTGGTGGTGGTGGTAGTGCAGGGGCTGGGGTCTACCTACCATCTGCCTACTGTGTGGATGTACTGGTGGTGGTGGTAGAGCAGGGGCTGGGGTCTACCTACCATCTGCCTACTGTGTGGATGTACTGGTGGTGGTGGTAGAGCAGGGGCTGGGGTCTACCTACCATCTGCCTACTGTGTGGATGTACTGGTGGTGGTGGTGGTGGTGACGCAGGGGCGGGGTCTACTTATCATCTGCCTTCTGTGTGGATGTACTGGTGGTGGTGGTGCTGGTGATGCAGGGGCTGGGCTCTACCTACCATCTGCCTTCTGTGTGGATGTACTGGTGGTGGTGGTGCTGGTGATGCAGGGGCTGGGGTCTACTTACCATCTGCCTTCTGTGTGGATGTACTGGTGGTGGTGGTGGTGATGCATGGGCTGGGGTCTACTTACCATCTGCCTTCTGTGTGGATGTACTGGTGGTGGTGGTGGTGATGCAGGGGCTGGGGTCTACTTACTATCTGCCTTCTGTGTGGATGTACTGGGGGTGGTGGTGGTGGTGGTGGTGGTGATGATGCAGGGCCAGGGATCTACCTACCATCTGCCTTCTGTTTGGATGTACTGGTGGTGGTGGTGGTGATGATGCAGGGGCGGGGGTCTACCTACCATCTGCCTTCTGTGTGGATGTACTGGTGGTGGTGGTGGTGGTGATGCAGGGCCAGGGATCTACCTACCATCTGCCTTCTGTTTGGATGTACTGGTGGTGGTGGTGGTGATGATGCAGGGGCGGGGGTCTACCTACCATCTGCCTTCTGTGTGGATGTACTGGTGGTGGTGGTGGTGGTAGTTATGCAGGGCCAGGAATCTACCTACCATCTGCCTTCTGTGTGGATGTACTGCTGGTGGTGGTGGTGATGGTGATGCAGGGCCAGGGATCTACTTACCATCTGCCTTCTGTGTGGATGTACTGGTGGTGGTGGTGGTGGTGGTGATGCAGGGGCTGGGGTCTACCTACCTTTCGCCTTCTGTGCGGATGTACTGGTGGTGGTGGTGATGGTGATGCAGGGGCTGGGGTCTACTTACCATCTGCCTTCTGTGTGGATGTACTGGTGGTGGGGTAGGTGGTGGTGGTGGTGATGCAGGGCTAGAGATCTACCTACCATCTGCCTTCTGTGTGGATGTACTGGTGGTGGTGGTGATGATGCAGGGCCAGGGATCTACCTACCATCTGCCTTCTGTGTGGATGTACTGGTGGTGGTGGTGATGATGCAGGGCCAGGGGTCTACCTACCATCTGCCTTCTGTGTGGATGTACTGGTGGTGGTGGTGGTGATGCAGGGCCAGAGATCTACCTACCATCTGCCTTCTGTGTGGATGTACTGGTGGTGGTGGTGATGACGCAGGGCCAGGGGTCTACTTACCATCTGCCTTCTGTGTGGATGTACTGGTGGTGGTGGTGATGATGCAGGGGCTCGGGTCTACTTACCATCTGCCTTCTGTGTGGATGTACAGGTGGTGGTGGTGGTGATGCAGGGCCAGGGGTCTACTTACCATCTGCCTTCTGTGTGGATGTACAGGTGGTGGTGGTGATGATGCAGGGGCGGGGGTCTACTTACCATCTGCCTTCTGTGTGGATGTACTGGTGGTGGTGGTGGTGGTGCAGGGCCAGGGGTCTACTTACCACCTGCCTTCTGTGTGGAAGTACTGGTGGTGCAGGGGCTGGGGTCTACTAACTATATGCCTTCTGTGTGGATGTACTGGTGGTGGTGGTGATGATGCAGGGCCAGGGGTCTTTTTACCATCTGTCTTCAGTGTGGATGTACTGGTGGTGGTGGTGATGTAGGGCTGGGGTCTACTTATCATCTGCCTTCTGTGTGGATGTACTGGTGGTGGTGGTGCTGGTGATGCAGGGGCTGGGCTCTACCTACCATCTGCCTTCTGTGTGGATGTACTGGTGGTGGTGGTGCTGGTGATGCAGGGGCTGGGGTCTACTTACCATCTGCCTTCTGTGTGGATGTACTGGTGGTGGTGGTGGTGATGCATGGGCTGGGGTCTACTTACCATCTGCCTTCTGTGTGGATGTACTGGTGGTGGTGGTGATGGTGATGCAGGGGCTGGGGTCTACCTACCTTCAGCCTTCTGTGTGGATGTACTGGTGGTGGTGGTGATGGTGATGGTGGTGGTGGTGATGCAGGGCCAGGGATCTACCTACCATCAGCCTTCTGTGTGGATGTACTGGAGGTGGTGGTGATGGTGATGGTGATGCAGGGCCAGGGGTCTACTTACCTTCCGCCTTCTGTGTGGATGTACTGGTGGTGGTGCTGGTGATGCAGGGCCAGGGGTCTACTTACCATCTGCCTTCTGTGTGGATGTACTGGTGGTGGTGGTGGTGATGCATGGGCTGGGGTCTACTTACCATCTGCCTTCTGTGTGGATGTACTGGTGGTGGTGGTGATGGTGATGCAGGGGCTGGGGTCTACCTACCTTCAGCCTTCTGTGTGGATGTACTGGTGGTGGTGGTGATGGTGATGCAGGGGCGGGGGTCTACCTACCTTCAGCCTTCTGTGTGGATGTACTGGTGGTGGTGGTGGTGGTGATGGTGATGCAGGGGCTGGGGTCTACCTACCTTCAGCCTTCTGTGTGGATGTACAGGTGGTGGTGGTGATGGTGATGCAGGGGCTGGGGTCTACTTACCTTCTGCCTTCTGTGTGGATGTACAGGTGGTGGTGGTGGTGATGCAGGGCCAGGGGTCTACTAACAATCTGCCTTCTGTGTGGATGTGCTGGTGGTGGGGTAGGTGGTGGTGGTGGTGGTGCAGGTGCTGGAGTCTACTTATCATCTGCCTTCTGTGTGGATGTACTGGTGGTGGTGGTGATGGTGATGCAGGGGCTGGGGTCTACTTACTATCTACCATCTGTGTGGATGTACTGGTGGTGGTGGTGGTGGTGGTGATGCAGGGGCTGGGGTCTACTAACAATCTGCCTTCTGTGTGGATGTGCTGGTGGTGGTGGTGGTGGTGGTGATGCAGGTCCAGGGGTCTACTAACCATCCGCCTTCTGTGTGGATGTGCTGGTGGTGGGGTAGGTGGTGGTGGTGCAGGTGCTGGAGTCTACTTATCATCTGCCTTCTGTGTGGATGTACTGGTGGTGGTGGTGATGCAGGGGCTGAGGTCTACTTACCATCTGCCTTCTGTGTGGATGTGCTGGTAGTGGTGGTTGTGGTTATCTGGGCTCCATCAGATCCAGTCTTGGTTGTTGTCGCCACAGAAGAGGGTTTGGCAGCCATGTCTGAGAACTGCTGCATCTTCCTCTTCTTATCTTCTTCTGCTTTCTCGAACCTCTTCTTCACAACATCTTCCGACTCCTTCTCCCTCTGCATCCGCTTTGCTTCTCGCTCCACTACAAAGCCAGGACAAAGGAAAAGACGTCAAGATCTAAAGGGACTCCCAAACTAGTCCTCTAGAACAGAATCATTTGGAGGCTTGATCAGCAATCCTGTTATTGACCTGTTACAGAACTTTTTAATAGTTTACACTGGTTATTTTCTCAAATGTCAAAGACAAGAATGTTCAACTTATGTGATATGTGTGTCAGGGTAACTTACATTTATCTATTTCTCTCACTTCTTTTAACCTTGCACGGATCTTCTTTCGTTCATCAAAGTCATCTGTCTTGCTCATCTGTTGAACAAAAGTCATATTTCCTTACACATAGGGAGACAGAAATAGAAAAATATTTGCTGTACTTTTTACATCAACAAATGTCTCCTATATCTAGAGGCATTAACACATTCCATCGTCAGTATAGAACCAACGGAATAGAATCAGTGTGAATATCAGGAGCGACGTTTTCACATGCTGGCATTTATTGGATCTTGTGTTCACAGCCTGGCTGCAATGACCATCAGTTAACAGCTCCCTAACTCTACACTATATACCCCTACTCTCAATAACCCCCTAACTCTACACTATATACCCCTACTCTCAATAACCCCCTAACTCTACACTATATACCCCTACTCTCAATAACCCCCTAACTCTACACTATATACCCCTACTCTCAATAACCCCCTAACTCTACACTATATACCCCTACTCTCAATAACCCCCTAACTCTACACTATATACCCCTACTCTCAATAACCCCCTAACTCTACACTATATACCCCTACTCTCAATAACCCCCTAACTCTACACTATATACCCCTACTCTCAATAACCCCCTAACTCTACACTATATACCCCTACTCTCAATAACCCCCTAACTCTACACTATATACCCCTACTCTCAATAACCCCCTAACTCTACACTATATACCCCTACTCTCAATAACCCCCTAACTCTACACTATATACCCCACACTCTATAACCCCCTAACTCTACACTAGAGACTCCTACTCTCAATGACCCCCTAACTCTACACTATATACCCCTACTCTCAATAACCCCCTAACTCTACACTACATACCCCTACTCTCAATAACCCCCTAAGTCTATACTATATAGCCCTACTAACAATAACCCCCTAACTCTACACTAGAGACCCCTTCTATCAATAACCCCTAAATCTACACTGGAGACCTCTACTCTCAATAACCCCCTAACTCTACACTATATACCCCTACTCTCAATAACCCCCTAACTCTACACTATATACCCCTACTCTCAATAACCCCCTAACTCTACACTATATACCCCTACTCTCAATAACCCCCTAACTCTACACTATATACCCCTACTCTCAAAAAACCCCTAACTCTACACTATATACCCCTACTCTCAATAACCCCCTAACTCTACACTATATACCCCTACTCTCAATAACCCCCTAACTCTACACTATATACCCCTACTCTCAATAACCCCCTAACTCTACACTATATACCCCTACTCTCAATAACCCCCTAACTCTACACTATATACCCCTACTCTCAATAACCCCCTAAGTCTATACTATATAGCCCTACTCACAATAACCCCCTAACTCTACACTAGAGACCCCTACTATCAATAACCCCTAAATCTACACTGGAGACCTCTACTCTCAATAACCCCCTCACTCTACACTGGAGACCCCTACTCTCAATAACCCCCTAACTCTACACTAGAGACCCCTAATATCAATAACCCTGTAATTCTATGAAAACAATTGACGCTTTTTAATGGATAGCAACTTCTTTTATTCATGCTCCTTCATCAGGCAAATGCTTAGCAAGTGCATAGACATAAATCATGATATGTTCTCCCAACTTCTAAGTGCCTATCAAAGTCTTCCTCTAATTCTAAACTACAGAAACTGCTCTCAATAACCCAACTCTAAATAGAACATGACACTGCAATATTCATGTAACCTCAAATTCCTGTGCACAAAAGAACCACATATGTACCACAATGTACCACAATGTACCATAAATGTAACACTCTGCAGGTAGAACACAGACTCATGTTTACAACATGTTTGTTTGTTTGTTGTTTTACATCACACTCAGGACTATTCCAGCTCTATGACAGCGGTCTGTAAATAAACCAGTCTGGACCAGACAATCTGGTGATTGACATCGATCCATGCAATTGGGAACGAAGATATGCATCAACCAAGTCAGCGAGCCTGACCACCCAATCCCGCGTTAGTCGCCTCTTACGACAAGCAAAATCGCCTTTTACGGCAACATGTGGAACACCCTGTGTTGCATGGGTGGAGCACCCTCAGGGGGACTTCCTGTACCTGGGACAGTAAGGGGGGGGGGGGGGGGGGGGGGGGGGTTGAGCACATGTATCCTCTGTGCCAACAAGGGGGAAGCTAATATATACTGAACCACAAAAGAAACGTATATGAGAAACCTTATTTGTCAAAACACTGTAAACATACTTTGAGACATATTAAAAAGATGAAACTTGGCAAAGCTGATCATCAAGGCTGAAATTAAAGTGTCAAATGTTCTTAAAGTGAAACACAACACTAGTCACTGAGAAAATGGCATCACAAGTCAGTATCTCAGGTGTCCGCCATGTACATTGATGACTGCCGTGCAATGTCGATACATGGAATGGATGAGGTGGTTGATGAAGGCCATAGGCACTTGAGCCCACACTCTGAGGAACGCCTGAAGCAGTTTAGCTGCAGTTGTCAGCCTTGGTAGGACCTCATTCAACCGCCTTTGTATCTCGTCCCACAGGTGCTCAATGGGATTTAAATCGGGACTAAGGGCAGGCCACTGCATGGTTCTGCTGGAGGAAGTCTCTTGTTGCTCTCGCAGTGTTGGCACGGGCGTTATCATGCTGAAACTCGTGGTTGCGGCGACGTGCCAAATGAGGTATGGCGTGTGGTTTCAAGACTTGATCAAAGTACCGAGCTGTTGTGACACCATTGCCTCTCCCAGGACCGATGTTCTGGAAGACCACAGGGCCGACCCTCTGTGCAGGACCAATTCAACCCCACACCATGACACCATGATGTCTCTCTCAACAACACAAGCATCTGAATAACATTCCCCACAGCGTCGCCAGACTCTCTCTCTCTCTGCCATCTGCTGTTGAGATTACACGAACAGCTCTCGTCTGAGAAGAAGACTCCCAGTTCTGGTGGTGCCAATGCTGGTGCTGTGTTGCCCACTGAAGACGGTCCCAGCTATGACGTGGTGTCAGAATGGGTCCTCGGTGTGGCCTGTGACAGTGGAGGTGTCTGCTTGTCAATTGTCAATGCACGGTGTCCACACTAATGTGTCGCTGGTGTGTCCCCATGGTCTGTCGAGCAGTTTCCACAGCAGTAACAAAATGATCTTGAAGATGCTGTTGCACAATCTGACGATCATAACGTCAGGTGGTGACCCTTGGTCTTCCACTATGTGGTCGGTCATCTGAAGTGTTGGTGGTCTGGTACCGTTGCTGGAGCCTGTATATGGTCCTTACGTGGACTTGAAATGCATTGGCTACTTGCCGGGCGGTTTGTCCATCTTGCAATCGTCCAAGGGCTTGGTGTCTCTGATTTCTTGTCAATCTTGGCAAGTGGTAGCAATTCAATAACGAATGAATGTTATCCGATCTGGGTGGATTTTTATAGGGTAAGAAATGGGGGAACCCATGTGCATTTCAATTTGCACTGAACTCACGTGCCATTGACGCGGATTTGCGCAATCGGTTTTATTGTCATCTGCTTTGTTTTTTTATCACCAAATTTCATTTTTCTGGACAAGGTAGTGTTAAATTTTAGAAACTTTGACAAAAATTACCCAGATATTTAAATGACAACTTTCCATGCAATGTTACTTGGGGGATGTTTCTTTTGCGGTTCAGTATATATGTTCTCAAGGGAGTGAAGCACATATATGCTCTGTGCCAACAAGGGGGAAGCACATGTATGCTCTGTGCCTACAAGGTGGGAAGCACATATATGCTCTGTGCCAACAAGGTGGGAAACACATATATGCTCTGTGGCAACAAGGTGGGAAGCACATATATGTTCTGTGCCCACAAGGTGGGAAGCACATATATGTTCTGTGCCAACAAGGTGGGAAACACATATATGCTCTGTGGCAACAAGGTGGGAAGCACATATATGTTCTGTGCCCACAAGGTGGGAAGCACATATATGTTCTGTGCCCACAAGGTGGGAAGCACATATATGTTCTGTGCCCACAAGGTGGGAAGCACATATATGTTCTGTGCCCACAAGGTGGAAAGCACATATATGTTCTGTGCCAACAAGGTGGGAAGCACATATATGTTCTGTGCCCACAAGGTGGGAAGCACATATATGTTCTGTGCCCACAAGGTGGGAAGCACATATATGTTCTGTGCCCACAAGGTGGGAAGCACATATATGTTCTGTGCCCACAAGGTGGAAAGCACATATATGTTCTGTGCCAACAAGGTGGGAAGCACATATATGTTCTAGGCCAACAAGGTGGGAAGCACATATATGTTCTGTGCCCACAAGGTGGGAAGCACATATATACTACTCAAAAGAAGTTAAGGATCACCTGATTCTTTCATATTACAATAGTTAATCTCTCATGCCATGACAGATTAACATTACCAATATGAAAGAATTGGGTGATCCCTAACTTCTTTTGAGTAGTATATGTTCTGTGCCCACAAGGTGGGAAGCACATATATATGTTCTGTGCCCACAAGGTGGGAAGCACATATATGTTCTGTGCCCACAAGGTGGGAAGCACATATATGTTCTGTGCCAACAAGGTGGGAAGCACATATATGTTCTGTGCCAACAAGGGTTGAAGCACATATAAAGCATGCACGCACACACACACACACAGATATATATACTCTGAGTTTGCAGGAGTGGGAGGCTATATGCTCAATACCAGCAGGGTTGGGGAGAAATGCAGGGCAAGCTGTCTCAAGGATGGGGCACATCTCACAACACCACAGCAGTTAGAAGCTTACATAAATAGGCAACAGATTAATCCGGAGTTTTAGAGAAGAATCTGTAAATCAACAGAAAACAGTGAGAAAGTATTATCATGCAGCAGGTGTTAGATCTTGGCTTCCCGTGCTTGTTGTCTACATGTGCCATACACATTGTACACTACATCCAAGGGTTCACTGTTCTGTAGAAACAGGTCCTCGATTTCTGGACATATAATTTACAGGATTTACAGGTTACAGTAATCACTGTATAATAATATCTTCCTTGGCTGACAGGTGGTTAATTGAGCAAGGAGGGCCACATCAACTAGTTGCGTTACTCATATCCCTCCAATGATATATGATGATTGCTTTAAAGACCAACACTTAGTGTAACTAGTTCAGTCATGATGAGTGATGGACCTGATCAATGGAGTGACTGGCTAATGGTAGACATGATATGGTGGTGTTCTGGTCACTGAGTGACTGGCTAATGGTAGACATGATATGGTGGTGTTCTGGTCACTGAGTGAGTGGCTAATGGTAGACATGATATGGTGGTGTACTGGTCATTGAGTGACTGGCTTATGGTAGACATGATATTGTAGTGTACTGGTCACTGATTGACTGGCTTATGGTAGACATGATATTGTAGTGTACTGGTCACTGAGTGAGTGGCTAATGGTAGACATGATATTGTAGTGTACTGGTCACTGATTGACTGGCTAATGGTAGACATGATATGGTGGTGTACTGGTCATTGAGTGACTGGCTAATGGTAGACATCATATGGTAGTATGCTGAACACCGGGGTTGGGTGAGGGGTAGTGTGTGCACACTCCACCTTTTATAAGCACACTTAACTTTTACATATTTGAAAATTTTATAGGTGATCTGCAACACTAAAACTTTCTCTTATGAGAATCAACTTTGTCAGGTCACTCAATCACTTAAACTTAGTTGAAAAGTAAAGACAAAAGTTATATTTGTTTATAGTTTTTATAGTGTTATTGAGGCATACTGTAAGCTGTTCTGGCAGAAAGTACTATTTCAATTGAAATAACAATTTCATATATTGTGATAAATACATATTTTACCACTTAATAGATAATATATTAGGGCAACTGAGACGGGAGACTACTTACACATTATCCTTGAGGCAGCTGAGAATGGGTGCACGGACAGCACAAGGGTGTTCCTGCCTTAAGGGCCCCAGTTGAACAATGAAAGGACATTAGCATAGTGAACCTTTCCACCTTGGCTTCATATTCTACTGTATTGTCTGACATTTACCAATATGGAATCACTTCATTGCCCTCATATCTGGGCTACCTGTATACATGTGGGACTTTGATCTGTAAGTCACTGTGCCCCAACCAAGGATGAGGTAACAATGTAGAACCTATGGAAATGATTAAGTATCATCTACCTGCCAGCATCAACAAGCATGCAGATCAAGTGAGGACCTGTCCGCACACCTCATGTTTCTCCTCCCATTTCCAACACACATGTACAAGGGGTAACAGGCTGGGTCAAACTCAGGCAGCACGTGCATCTGATGTGTTCCGAGCTCACAACACCACAGAGAAAGGTCATGGCTAGAGCATAAACATACACACTACAGCTGCTCCATTCATAGTATCATCTTACATCCCAGTCTGGCCGACCACCCCCTCCAACTTCAGCTTACATCCAATGGAGGCCTACAACCCCCTCCAACTTCAGCTTACATCCCAGTCTGGCCCACCACCCCCTCCAACCTCAGCTTATATCCCAGTCTGGCCTACAACCCCCTCCAACCTCAGCTTACATCCCAGTCTGGCCCACCACCCCCTCCAACCTCAGCTTACATCCCAGTCTGGCCCACCACCCCCTCCATCCTCAGCTTACATCCCAGTCTGGCCAACCACCCCCTCCAACCTCAGCTTACATCCCAGTCTGGCGCCCCCCCACCCCCACCCCCCCACCCCCCACCCCCCCACACACCCCACCACCCCTTCCAACCTCAACTTACATCCCAGTCTGGCCAACCACCCCCTCCATCCTCAGCTTATATCCCAGTCTGGCCTACAACCCCCTCCAACCTCAGTTTACATCCCAGTTTGGCCAACCAAACCCTCCAACCTCAGCTTACATCCTAGTGTGGCCTACAAACCCCCCCCCAACCTCAGCTTACATCACATTGTAGCCCATCACCCCCTCCAACCTCAGCTTACATCCCAGTCTGGCCCACCACCCCCTCCAACCTCAGTTTACATCCCAGTTTGGCCCATCACCCCCTCCAACCTCAGCTTATATCCCAGTCTGGCCTACAACCCCCTCCAACCTCAGTTTACATCCCAGTTTGGCCAACCAAACCCTCCATCCACAGCTTACATCCCAGTCTGGCCCACCACCCCCTCCAACTTCAGCTTACATCCCAGTCTGGCCCACCACCCCCTCCAACCTCAGCTTACATCACATTGTGGCCCACCAAACCCTCTATCCTCAGCTTACATCCCAGTCTGGCCCACCACCCCCTCCAACCTCAGCTTACATCACATTGTGGCCCACCAAACCCTCTATCCTCAGCTTACATCCCAGTCTGGCCCACCACCCCCTCCAACCTCAGCTTACATCACATTGTGGCCCACCAAACCCTCTATCCTCAGCTTACATCCCAGTTTGGCCCACCATCCCCTCCAACCTCAGCTTACATCACATTGTGGCCCACCAAACCCTCTATCCTCAGCTTACATCCCAGTTTGGCCCACCACCCCCTCCAACTTCAGCTTACATCCCAGTCTGGCCTACAACCCCCTCCAACCTCAGTTTACATCCCAGTCTGGCCTACAACCCCATCCAACCTCAGCTTACATCCCAGTCTGGTCTACAACCCCCTCCAACCTCAGCTTACATCCCAGTCTGGCCTACAACCCCCTCCAACCTCAGTTTACATCCCAGTCTGGCCTACAACCCCCTCCAACCTCAGGTTATATCCCAGTCTGGTCTACAACCCCCTCCAACCTCAGCTTACATCCCAGTCTGGCCTACAACCCCCTCCAACCTCAGTTTACATCCCCGTTTGGCCAGTCAAACCCTCTATCCTCAGTTTACATCCCAGTCTGGTCTACAACCCCCTCCAACCTCAGCTTACATCCCAGTCTGGCCTACAACCCCCTCCAACCTCAGTTTACATCCCAGTTTGGCCAGTCAAACCCTCCATCCTCAGCTTACATCCCAGTCTGGTCTACAACCCCCTCCAACCTCAGCTTACATCCCAGTCTGGTCTACAACCCCCTCCAACCTCAGCTTACATCCCAGTCTGGCCTACAACCCCCTCCAACCCCAGTTTACATCCCAGTTTGGCCAACCAAACCCTCCATCCTCAGTTTACATCCCAGTCTGGTCTACAACCCCCTCCAACCTCAGCTTACATCCCAGTCTGGCCTACAACCCCCTCCAACCTCAATTTACATCCCAGTTTGGCCAGTCAAACCCTCCATCCCCAGGTTATATCCCAGTCTGGCCTACAACCCCCTCCAACCTCAGCTTACATCCCAGTCTGGCCTACAACCCCCTCCAACCTCAGCTTACATCCCAGTCTGGCCTACAACCCCTTCCAACCTCAGGTTATATCCCAGTCTGGTCTACAACCCCCTCAACCTCAGCTTACATCCCAGTTTGGCCAACCAAACCCTCCATCCTCAGTTTACATCCCAGTCTGGTCTACAACCCCCTCCAACCTCAGCTTACATCCCAGTCTGGCCTACAACCCCCCCCAACCTCAGGTTATATCCCAGTCTGGACTACAACCCCCTCCAACCTCAGCTTACATCACATGGTTGTCCACCAGCCCCTCCAACCTCAGCTTACATCCCAGTCTGGTCCACCACCCCCTCAAACCTCAGCTTACATCCTAGTGTGGCCTACAACCCCCTCCAACCTCAGGTTATATCCCAGTCTGGTCTACAGCCCCCTCCAACCTCAGGTTACATCACATTGTGGCCCATCACCCCCTCCAACCTCAGGTTATATCCTAGTCTGGCCTCCAACCCCCTCCAACCTCAGGTTACATCCCAGTCTGGCCCATCACCCCCTCCAACCTCAGGTTATATCGCAGTCTGGCCTACAACCCCCTCCAACCTCAGGTTATATCCCAGTCTGGCCTATCACCCCCTCCAACCTCAGGTTATATCCCATTCTGGCCTACAACCCCCTCCAACCTCAGCTTACATCTCAGGGTGGCCTACAAACCCCCCCAACCTTAGCTTACATCCCAGGGTTGCCTAAAACCCCTCAACAGAACCTGCAACAAGTGTCTGTTTTACTTACAACTTTCATGAGCTCCTCCTCATCATTGATGTCCTCGTAGGTTGGCATGGTTGCCCCCCTTGAGTCAGTGCTGCTGTGTAGCTGCTGGGCTCGTGTCACAGACCCCTTCTCCTTCTGTAACCAAACAACAGCTCAGTTATTTGTGTTGTATCAATTGGGATAACTATATGACTACTACATTACTGAGATGATCTACTCATGAATACAGACTCATAAAAATGATTATGATTGTGGTTAATGTGGCACGATTCATGATTGCCATAATGTGTACAGGATCTATTAGCATACATGATGGCCTGTCGGCTAGTGTGTGGCACTGTTCCACTCAACAGTCGTGCTGTGACCACCATACGCCTCAACAAAAGTACCAGTAAGGACAGACAAATCACCAATAACAGCAACTTTCCTAAAGTTTCTACTCAGAGAAAGGTTGTGCACATTATACTCAATGCAACAGGAAAAATGCATCTTATTTACCTTATGAAGGTAATATCAGTTTACATCAATTACTTAGTATTTTCTTGATGGATTTAGAGATTCATCATTTTGTTGCCAGTTAACTGTGATAACAATCAGCAGCCTGGCACTCACACCATCAGAGTAAGCATGTGAGTCAACCAGACATTCATCTCCCATCTTTCAGGATCAACACCATACAGTTGTCGGCAAAGCAGCACACCCACAAGTGGACACTGGTCCCCTGACTGGCATTGATGATGTGACAAAACATATACTTTGTGTCAATTTTGAAATAGGAGGAATCTTTATGGTAAAGGATACCACAAACTCAGAATTTCTGATTCTTCCCATACTGTTAACTATGACAGGGTTTCAAGAAAAAACCCTTCTCAGTAGCTGAATGGACAGACCTTAAAACTAGGACACTGCAAGCACATGGGCCATATTTCTTCCAGTGCAGTGCCATGTAAGGCTGAAGGAAGGCCATAGTCTAGTGCAGAGGTGAAATGGAATTAGATCAGAGTGACTTCATACAATAGGTTGTTGAGAAAAACACCTGAAAGATTTCAACCTCTCTGACTGACTTGTTTGAGGCAATCCATATTTCATATTTGAAAGGAATTGAATAGAAAATGATTTCAAACTGACATAAAAGTTCCAGTATGTTCTAATTGATGGCCAAGCAGTGATGGTAAGCCTGAGATCCCTGGGAAGTGCCGAGTCGGGAGGTGTATGGCTGGCTGCCAGTGGGTAAATACCTGGCTGTCTGCTCCATGTTACATAGCACAGAAGAATGCATGCAGCTCTCCATCATGCACCAACACTCTTCCCGACTAGTGGTACCACCCCTCACCACTCTACTCCACTAGTGTAACCACCACTCTACCCGAATAGTGGTACCACCACTCACCACTCTACTCCACTAGTGTAACCACCACTCTACCCCACTAGTGGTACCACCATTCACCACTCTACCCCACTAGTGGTACCACCACTCACCACTCTACTCCACTAGTGTAACCACCACTCTACCCGACTAGTGGTACCACCGCTCACCACTCTACCCGACGAGTGGTACCACCACTCACCCCTGTAACCGACTAGTCGTACCACCACTCACCACTCTACCCGACTAGTGGTACCACCACTCACCACTCTACCCGACTAGTGGTACCACCACTCTACTCCACTAGTGTAACCACTACTCTACCCGAATAGTGGTACCACCACTCACCACTCTACTCCACTAGTGTAACCACCACTCTACCCCACTAGTGGTACCACCACTCACCACTCTACCCCACTAGTGGTACCACCACTCACCACTCTACTCCACTAGTGTAACCACCACTCTACCCAACTAGTGGTACCACCGCTCACCACTCTACCCGACGAGTGGTACCACCACTCACCCCTGTAACCGACTAGTCGTACCACCACTCACCACTCTACCCGACTAGTGGTACCACCACTCACCACTCTACCCGACTAGTGGTACCGCCACTCACCACTCTACCCGACTAGTGGTACCACCGCTCACCACTCTACCCGACTAGTGGTACCACCACTCATCCCTCTAACTGACTAGTGGTACCACCACTCACCACTCTACCCGACTAGTGGTACCACCACTCACCACTCTACCCCACTAGTGGTACCACCACTCACCCCTCTAACCAACTAGTTGTACCACCACTCACCACTCTACCCGACTAGTGGTACCACCACTCACCCCTCTAACCGACTAGTGGTACCACCACTCACCACTCTACCTCACTAGTGGTACCACCACTCACCACTCTACTCCACTAGTGTAACCACCACTCTACCCAACTAGTGGTACCACCGCTCACCACTCTACCCGACTAGTGGTGCCACCACTCACCCCTGTAACCGGCTAGTCGTACCACCACTCACCACTCTACCCAACTAGTGGTACCACCACTCACCACTCTACCCGACTAGTGGTACCACCACTCACCACTCTACCCGACTAGTGGTACCACCGCTCACCACTCTACCCGACTAGTGGTACCACCACTCATCCCTCTAACTGACTAGTGGTACCACCACTCACCACTCTACCCGACTAGTGGTACCACCACTCACCACTCTACCCAACTAGTGGTACCACCACTCACCCCTCTAACCAATTAGTGGTACCACCACTCACCACTCTACCCGACTAGTGGTACCACCACTCACCCCTCTAACCGACTAGTGGTACCACCACTCACCACTCTACCCAACTAGTGGTACCACCACTCACCACTCTACTCCACTAGTGGAACCTCCACTCTACCCGAATAGTGGTACCACCCCTCACCACTCTAACCGACTAGTGGTACCACCACTCACCACTCTACCCGACTAGTGGTACCACCCCTCACCACCCTACTCCACTAGTGGAACCTCCACTCTACCAGAATAGTGGTACCACCACTCACCACTCTACCCGACTAGTGGTACCACCACTCACCACTCTACCCAACTAGTGGTACCACCACTCACCACCCTACTCCACTAGTGGAACCTCCACTCTACCCGACTAGTGGTACCACCACTTACCCCACTAGTGGTACCACCACTCACCACTCTTCCCCACCAGTGGTACCACCACTCACCACTCTACTCGACTAGTGGTACCACCACTTACCACTCTACTCCATTAGTGGTACCACCACTCACCACTCTACCCGACTAGTGGTACAACCACTCACCACCCTACCTGACTAGTGGTACCACCACTCACCCCTCTAACCGACTAGTGGTACCACCACTCACCACTCTACTCCACTAGTGGTACCACCCCTCTACCCCATTAGTGGTACCACAGCTCACAACTCTACCCGACTAGTGGTACCACCACTCACCACTCTACCCGACTAGTGGTACCTCCACTTACCACTCTACTCCACTAGTGGTACCACCACTCACCACTCTACCCGACTAGTGGTACCACCACTCACCCCTCTACCCGACTAGTGGTACCACCACTCACCCCTGTAACCGACTAGTGGTACCACCACTCACCCCTCTACCCGACTAGTGGTACCATCACTCATCACTCTACCCGACTAGTGGTACCACCACTCACCCCTCTACCCGACTAGTGGTACCATCACTCATCACTCTACCCAACTTGTGGTACCACCACTCATCCCTCTAACCGACTAGTGGTACCACCACTCACCACTCTACTCCAATAGTGGTACCACCACTCACCACCCTACTCCACTAGTGGAACCACCATTCTACCCGACTAGTGGTACCACCACTCTACCCCACTAGTGGTACCACCACTCACCACTCTTCCCCACTAGTGGAACCACCACTCACCACTCTACCCGACTAGTGGTACCACCACTCACCACTCTACTCCAATAGTGGTACCACCACTCACCACCCTACTCCACTAGTGGAACCACCATTCTACCCGACTAGTGGTACCACCACTCTACCCCACTAGTGGTACCACCACTCACCACTCTTCCCCACTAGTGGAACCACCACTCACCACTCTAACCGACTAGTGGTACCACCACTCACCACTCTACTCCAATAGTGGTACCACCACTCACCACCCTACTCCACTAGTGGAACCACCACTCTACCCGACTAGTGGTACCACCACTCTACCCCACTAGTGGTACCACCACTCACCACTCTTCCCCACTAGTTCAGCAATATCATTGAGCAGTGACATGATCATAAATGACTACAACAGTGTGAAGCTCTTGAGAACACTAATGATCCAACCAGGAGTTACCTTTTTGTCAGTTTCATTGCATTAGTCATGCTGAACTTCCCATATTTAGATAGACAACACCTGTTTGAGTGAGGTTCGTCCCAAAGCTGGTCACTGCATAGTGTGTTACAATAGCGGTACCATGTGAAGGCAGAACCAATGAAGCGGTTGTAACTGATCCCACACTAAACAGTCCCACATTCTGGCATTGGGACCTGCACACATTGTCACACTTATCCTGTGTATCAGACACTGCACAGAGACATCACTTCAACCAGACACTGTAGATTAGTTATGTGAAAGAGAGGCATCACTTCAACTAGACACTGTAGATGAGGTATGTGAAGAGAGAGGCATCACTTCAACCAGACACTCTAGATTAGGTATGTGAAGAGAGAGGCATCACTTCAACCAGACACTGTAGATTAGGTATGTGAAGAGAAAGGCATCACTTCAACCAGACACTGTAGATAAGGTATGTGAAGAGAGAGACATCACTTCAACCAGACACTGTAGATTAGGTATGTGAAGCGAGAGGCATCACTTCAACCAGACACTGTAGATTAGGTATGTGAAGAGAAAGGCATCACTTCAACCAGACACTGTAGATTAGGTATGTGAAGAGAGAGGCATCACTTCAACCAGACACTTTAGATTAGGTATGTGAAGAGAGAGACATCACTTCAACCAGACACTGTAGATTAGGTATGTGAAGAGAGAGACATCACTTCAACCAGACACTGTAGATTAGGTATGTGAAGAGAGAGACATCACTTCAACCAGACACTGTAGATTAGGTATGGGAAGAGAGAGGCATCACTTCAACCAGACACTGTAGATAAGGTATATGAAGAGAGAGACATCACTTCAACCAGACACTGTAGATTAGGTATGTGAAGAGAGAGAC